TGTTCCGTCACACCTAGCTATTAGGGCTCCCAAAACCTGCATATATAATCCTCATTTTAGCACCCAACATGATAGCTCTTCACTTGTAGATTCTAAGTACACAATCGGAGTCCTGTTTATACCCTTTTGGTCACAAATAATAATAATAATAATATCAATAAATAAAAAAGAAATCTTGTTTAGATTACAACATTCTTAGAATATTGTAAATGTATTTCTAAATACTAAGTTGATTCCGAAATATTCTCAATTTTTTCCTATCTCAGTATCACTGGCAGCTAGCTCATACCGCAACCTAGTTTATTTAGCGATGAGGTAAGCTCAATACGCAATGAGTTTGTTGCGGTATAGCCCGGAACACATGAAACAACCCCTCCAAAATAGTGATCTAGTAGCCTAGTACTTATTTCGTCCGACTTGCGAACCGAGTTTGCGAATCGAGTTTGCAGTTTCGATCTAGTCTAGTCTAGTGTTCCCGTACCTCCAATCCACTCCTCGTCATGGCATCTAATTGAATCGAAGCTCACCTATCGGATGAATACTAGGTAGTGAGTGGATCTTTGGGATTGGGATACCTAATCAGTACTTGATTTGGCATACTGTACTCGAGTAGTATCTTGTAGTGATTATATTACTCGTACAGGTACAGGGTTGATGGGAATTTGGAGATATTGGAATTTCCATGATATGATATCAATATCACAATATATGTTTATGGGAAGCTAGGCTGGGGATTGCAAATAACACTAGTACCAGTAGATTGTGAATTTGTTTGGAGTATCATTTGATCATGCAATTCCTAGTATAGAGGTACAATGTGTATGTACATACATATCCATCCACCCCATCCAGTTCATCGTCCCATTGTGACCTTTCATCCCTCTCTCCGCGTCTTTATACCATATTCCTAGGGAAAAAATATATATGACCTGTGCTTCCTCTCACCTCTTTTCGTCCATCCCCATTCTCAAAAAATACCACATAAGAAAAGCCTCTGCAACTATAAAACCGTAGAATACACAAAGCGTATATAACTTCCATGACAAAAGAGACACCTATCCATCCCGTCCGCAAAATAATGACCGATTGTCTGCCGCAGGCAGTGATATAACGCTTTATAGAAACGCCACATAGTACAATCGTGATTTCCCCCCTACCATCCCCCATCCATCCGTCCTTTTCTTCCCTTTCCGAAACCCCAAAAATACATAAAAATGGAATGTAAATGCGAAAACCCAAATAAGCTGCTATTATTAAATTCGAATAAAACTTCCTCTCTTCAGTCACTCCATCTTTCTTTTCCTTTCCCTTGCTCTTCTACACACCAAGAAAACTCCACTTCAATCACTTGTCACCTCTAAAAATTAGAGGATGAGTCATATCCATTGATCTTTGGTCGTCTGTCCGAGCTTTGAGTTTCGACGATTCGAGTCTGATCTGGTGGGGATGGTCCTCCCTGAGCCATTTCTCTGCAGGGAACCTTCAGGTGGTGTGTAAACGGTGGGACTCAACTGAATGATTACATCAGATTGCTCTAAGCGTTCGATGGCTGGCTGTTTCGGAGTCACAAGTTTGGGTGTTGCTGGGAGGATTTTGTTGATAAAAGGAGACTTTTGTGGCGAGGTAGAGCGTGGGGAAGCCGATCGGGTAGGAGATTGTTGACGTTGAGTCGTGGTGTCTACATTGGCAAGAGGAGAAGGTCGGAACGGTGAGCGTGGTGGGATTTGAAAAGGGCTTTGGGTGAGATTTGTTGTTTGTAGTGGAGGTAGAGGAAGTCTAGGCAGAGCAGGCGTGGTATTCGGAGCGGGGTTAAACTTTGATGTAGGTGCATAAGTTGTTGATGGGAGAGCAAGAGCTTGGAAAGTCGTGGCGGGAAGTTGAGTTGCTTTGTAGGTTGTTGAAGGGAGGGCAAAGAGAGGAACGTCAGGAACAGGTGGAGGAGGCGGTGCGTGCGAGAAGCGGATGCCGATTTGTACTGTCGCTGATGAAGCTACAGAAGAACTTCTCCTGCGACCTATTTGATTGTGCGGTGGCGGTGCGAGATCTGACAAATCGCTGATATCATATACTGATTCGAAAGCGGATCTGCTCATTGGAGGAGGTAACAATGTGCTGGGACTCTCGAGAGCGGGTGCGGGGAAAAGAGAGTATGATTGTTTCTTTGTTTGTTCGAATGGGGTGTGTTCCGTAGGAGTAGGGGGGACTGGTGCCGATGATATTGGGTTAATGGCATTAGAGCGTAGAGGATTTGGCTTCGTCGGCGAATACGTAGGTGATGGTAGGACAGGCAGCTCAGCCATGCTAACGGCGTCGCTTTTGTCCGATGAAGAGATCAAACTTCTTTGGCTACCTGCCCGACTCACCAATCCCGATCTTGGAGACACTGGCGGTGGCACAGGATCCATAATGTGATTATTAAATGCTAATTCATTGGGCCCCCATATTCTGATCTCATGCTTATTACTAGGCCAGGACCGGCTTCTTGGTCCAAATGATGTTGTTGCAGTATTTGATCGTAAGAATAATTGGAGCAAACCGTTCATCAAACCGGACAAATTTAGGACTACAGTTGCCATCATGGCTACCTTGATGTCACCATGTCCGATTGTTTGAGAAGCAAAGTACGGAATCACAAAACCCTTATAACCATTAGCCAATGCTGTAGGAAGGTCAGCTAGTGCTATGAACTTACCAATGATATAACACCCACAACCAGGTAATATACCATACGAGATGCTGCAATTCTTTGATTTTGCTCTACCAATGTCGTCTTGGACAACCTGACAAAGATGGTGATTGCACTGATGATGAGGAGACCGGCAATGGAGGAAAACAAAATGAGTCCGAACTCTCCAAATTTCGACACGAACCATACTAATGAAGCAAAGCATCTATCTTTTTGAGGAAAGAGATGTGTTGGAATCCAAGTGCCAACCAACATAAACACAATTGTTACCAAGCAGATTGTCACATCGTATTTTCCTCTAGGCTGAAATGATGTCTTCTTCAAGGATCGTATGGCACATTCGAGACCGAAGACAAGTTGAATGTATGGGACAATGAAAAGAGCTGAATAGCGTTAGTATCTAGAAGGTTTCTGGTATCAAATCAAACATACCAATCCACATAAATTGAGCGATGATACTGCATCCAGAAGTAAATAACGAATGAAGCCCTTCTCCTTGAACTGCAGCAAAGATAATTCCTTGAATTATAATACCAATAGATAGCACCAAAGGAAAAGTTTCTGCTGGATGAATCATCGAAACGCAGAATTTCCTAGGACACGTTAGTAAGCTTTCCCCAAAAATATAACTGGTGCACCACATACGAAGCTTTAAACTTCGGATTGCATCGTTTCGAAGCCCAGTAACAGTCGTAAAGAATACTGGCTGCCGTTGCAAACGAAGCCAGTACATTAAAGGCTGCTAGAATAACAGTCGATGTGCGGACCGATTTGCTTTCTGCAAACACCAAATTTGCTATTATGCCCTCCGCAAGTGTATTATTCTTAGAACCCTCCGCAGCTTTCAAGAAAGTCGACGCCGAATCCGTGCCATCCAAAATTCCCGCCCGGGCCATCAAATATAATGCTGAACTAGCACCCATCTTGTCGGGATTGTCGTCGAGGCTATTGATATGTATATAGGCAGCGAGCCGTGGCGTTGCCGTGTATTGTCGTTAAATCATGAGATTCAAATGATAATAATACTCTAACGATAGTGCTTTGATACGAATTGAATCGTTGCATAGACTGGATGAATGAAGAGACGAAAGAAGGTGATTAATGGGATGTAAAATGAGCGGATTGCACCAATGATCCAGTTGGCACAGAATAAGAAAATGTAAAACAAGAAATTACCTGAACCAGCAGCGATGAATAGTGCACTGCACGTATGAAAGAGAAAAATGACAGACTTGAAGATAGGAAGAAAAAGTCCCAAGAAAATGGCAAAAAGTCTCAGACGACGATTTGCAAAGGTTATCGGATTGCATGAGGTATAAGAAAGCGCACCCTGCAGAGCTCGAGAAGGCAAACTAAATCCGTCCTGGCAGGGCTACCTTGTGCGCGGAGGAAGTGGTGGGAGAGTAGTGCTAAACTAGCATGGGCCACGCCGCCGCCGCTAAATGTGGGTTTCAAGCCTTTTTACTATGAGTAGTTGTACCACTCAAGGAAGAATCCCATAAGAAAGTGTTTGGACTTCTCGATCATGTGGAGGATGCAATTAATTTCTTACAACACCAGCGACAATTCAGAAAGGGATCCTCATCACCACGTCAAGTCTACTCAACCAACCCAGTATATTTAGCCATCAGGGTTGACGAAGCAGTCTTTGACAACTGAGGTATGAGAAGGTTTCGACAATGTCGCAAATATTCGCTTAGGACCCTGACTACAAGGTCAAAGCAACGTGGGTCAGGCAGTTCATGCAACAGGACAAAGTGACCAATCATGAACGAGAATAGAATTTAACGGCGAATATCCATGAACCCTCAACGTAGATGCTTCTGCAGAATATTCCATCGTAAAATAAGTGATGAGACTTTGCGATTCTCGAACTCTAATTGGTTATAAATGACCGATGGCATTGATTGAATGGTACACATTTGGATCAGGACGCTAATCTCTATGCGGCCTGTCGAATACCGACGAAAAAAAGACAAACATATCCAGAAAAGAAGGTTTAAAGCATAACATCTGCGCGAAAAGTAACACTAACGTAGAGTGTAGCTTTTTTCGATGACACTATTTTCTATGACACTAAACCAGTGGTAGTAAGATCATCAATATGGATTTGACACCACTGCTCATACTGTAAACATTATCAGTATGCACCACGACCTTTGCCAGGACTTAGGCAAGGACTCGGGCGACATCGCAAACCATTTGATATCATTGCACATCTTTAATTCAGATGGAGCATGGGTATAAGGGAGTCTTCCACGGATTCGGAAACAAACAAGTCGAAGAAGATCGAGACACACATTTTTTGGTCCTGGTAAAAACTCGATGGGTTCGTCCACTAATCCATAATGAAGCTCGATCTTGGAAATTGGAACTTGGAAGCAAAAGATCAAGGTATGGAGTATTTGTGTGGCGTCCCCATGAAGCTCGAAGAGTATCAAGATAGCTGGGATGAAACCATACATTATCCCTTATTGATAATGAACGTGCTCTGAAGAATTATCGTAAAGACACGACGAACTTTGAGAATGGATGATTCGAAGAGAAGAATAATTTTGGCTATTAATTGGGTGTTTGTGTGACATTGAAAGAGTGGGAAGAGACTTGATATAATCGAATGATGGATTTGTTTGTCACACATAAGAATGAGGATGGAATTGAGAGTGAGTGTGAGAAGTGATCGAGTAGCGATTATCCATGATCACGTGACCATTTGTTTTTAATCAATCATTGTCAATGATAACGTTTTCTCTCCATCTCCATCTGCATTGACAGCATATTTTCAATGGCAGCAGCGATGATTGATTTGGGTTCGCATCCTGTTACTGCATGTTTGTGAATCACTTGTTTTTTGTTACAAAATATGTCACTTGATCCCCACAAATCGCAAAGATATATTGCAGGCCAAGAACCTTGATTTCCTTGGAATCTACTTCGCCATTGATTGCCAAATCACCGCAAAATCACTTTGCATTATTATTATTACATGATGATCTCCAGCTAACTATCGAAAATTGAGTTCTAGATGACGGCTTTTTCATATCTCCAGGGCTGAGGTTCCATTGAACTGAACTGCGCCACCATCAAAACCATGCCACCCACGAGGTAAATATCCACACCTTTCTTGTTACAGACATCAGTCAAATTAAATGGTCAAGAAATCCTCTAGATATTAAGGGTAATTCCCGTCGAAATCAAACCTCTTCGAAGTTCCCGTCGGACCAACTCAACGCTTCCGATCCTCTACTTTGAACTTCTACATCCATCTGATCTCGACCCCTCTTCACCTACTCCACAAATATTTTCGAGTACAATGTACCCAGGTGTCATATCAATACTGTGTAGCGCATGAAATCACTGAATGTCACTGCTCTGTGCTGCTGCTGCTGCTGCTGCTGCTGCTGCTGCATATACTGAATCATACGCTACTACGGCATAAGGTAATGCTGTCCCGTCATTTTAATCTATCTACTTCGCTTATGAATCCCTTCACACGTATGATCGACTTCCTAGCGAAAGTCTAATATATTAATTCTTAATAAAGTCACATGCATAATCCATCGACATTAGCATTATTGAACCATTTTAATTCTCCGAGTGTCCATTAATCTCACTAGAAGTCTAGTTCCTGCAGAAGTTACAACGGGACCCAAAGCCGGTTGTGAACCGAATTTCTTTTTTCGGTTCATCGAGAGTTGTCTGTGCTTATCTATCACTTACCAGAAAACCATCAATTTGCATCCACCGACAGTTGGTTTTCAAGTAAACAGCAATGTTGGTTGGGTGCCAGTGTGGAAATTATTTTTCTGATACCAGGTCGCTGCTAGTTTCCTACGTCTCTCTTCGAGGACAAGTTCCCTCGTAATATGGATGACATGAATTTTCTATCATATTCTGGATAGCCACATGGCATGTCATCCCTCATTTCCAGATCTTCGGGAATCTTACCTTCCTGGCCTTGTCACAAATCCACATGGTTTCGGGATGACCGGCATTTCCGGTCATCATATCAGAATAACTGCCTATCTTCCCTCAGAGCCCGAGACACTCTATCATTATGAGAAACAAAATAAACGTAGTCCGTACGTCTTCTGCATTCTATACCGACACACTGTTCACGAGATTTACATCCTCGTACTTCCAGTTCTTTCAGCATGGTAGCTCTAATGAAGCATAACGATTAATAGTTAGAGCCTTTCGCTCTGGAATGTAGGAGTCCGAACGATCGGAACCCCGACTCCCATATGCAAATCGAATACAAATTTTCTTTCCTTTTCCTTTCAATGCTCTTTTACTCCTATAATTGCAGTATTAATTATGGATCATCCCATGCTCTACAATACTGATATCAGCTTTTCGTATTCATCCGTCACACCTATGAAGTTCTGGTGTACCACACATATAGAATTATCTTATGTTGCAATAAATGTATCGCAGCGTGATATTCTATCCTTTTTCTAATGGAGAAGAGTGGCCGAAATTGGTACCTATCAATTCCTATCAATGTTAGTCCAACTCATTAACCTGGAGAATATTTGTGAAACCTTTGAATTCAAGTGAAGAATAAAATATCAATATTCCGTTTCGATTTAGAAATTTAACAACAACGATGTAATGGTAACAACTCCAGTGACCATTCTCTCTGGTATAGAGCTTACCCTGCTACGATCATGCCGATCCCTCGAAATTTACAGAATCCCCACCTCTAAATAACCCCCTTCCTCCTCAAACACTTCACTTCCTACCTAATCTTCCCCTCCACCCTATTTCCCCCAAAATCATACTCAAATGCACTCACATCTCCATCCACCCCCTCTTTTCCTTCCATTATTATATCCAACCTAAGCACCTCCAATAGACTAGGCAACATAGCTCTAATATCCCTCTCCATCGTCGCCGAAAAAACATTCCCCCTTCCAATCCCACAAATCTGTTTCCGCGCTTTCATCACAAACTCCCCAATAACCCCCTCATTCCCCTCATCACCATCTCCCGACCAAGAAATCGCAAGTACGCCCGCTAAATACTTCCGCTCCTCGCGTGTCAATTTCGCCCAAGTTTTGGCCATCCCAATACGCATACACGTATGTATTTCACTCGGTCTCTCGGGAATTTTCGTTACACCCGGTAATCCCGTCTCATTCCTCTCCTTCTCCTTCCCTTTATTAATTTCCCCCAGAATCCCAAAAACATCCACCAAATGATCTCTCCTCTTCCTCCTCACCTGATCCGATAACCGTGCGCTCCATTCCACCTCACCATCCGCAATCCGTTTTAGTGAAACCTCCTCCGGTAGGAAAGAAACACCGCAATCCGGAGCTCCGCAATGCAATACCGATGCACCGAATGGACTTGCGAAGGGGATTACGACATTTTCGTGGCTGGTGTATATTTCTTTGTTTTTGAACTCGGATTCGGAGTCTATGAATATACTCAAGAGTATCTCACTAACCACACTTTCCGGAACCACGACCTTCGTATCTAGCAAAACAACAGCTAATGGTTCCTTGGACCGCAGTTGCGCAACATAGGTCTTGGCGGATGTATGGGCGAATTGGTGGTATACCAACCAAAATGCTAGAATTTGTATCCGGGGTATCATGTGAGTGACCTCTTCCTCGGTCCACATCTTCAGGAAATCTTCTGCAGGCATAAGTTCGATCAACGCCTTGTGAAACCTCGATCCCGATTTCAGGATCGATGCATCACCGCCCAGATCTCTAGGGATTAAATCATCGTTGAATTCCACATACAACATTTCCAACAGACTTTTCGTCCAGTCGCGAGACTTACCCATGTTTCGATATAGGAGTGCGAGATAATTTGATATGAAGGAATGGAGAAGTTTTGTATTTTAATCTCGGTCATCTCATCATCGGAGAAAACATTCATCGTTTTCCCAAAATAAAGAAGTTGCATGAAGCCTGCGACGGGATAGTTGATGCACCAGGCTGACAAACCTTCGCGGTGGAAATCTTGGGCCACCCAGGTAAGAGCTAGGGGGTAGGTAGTTCATTGGCCAGGCTCGGCAAATGTTTCCCTGACCCGGAGATGCGTGAGTATACTTTGCAGCAACCAATTCATCGCATTCCTCCTCTGCCTCACTTCCGCATCCATACTACCCTCCTGAATACCCGCACCAGCCCACACTTTCCTCCTCAGCGTGCAATCCAAAATCGCTGAAAATAATTGTCCCATGGCCGGAACCCCGGTTTTCAACCCCGCATTGAGCGCCTTATACAACTGCTGATGAAGATACAACTTATTACTATCCGTATACTCCAACGTTGGAATCACAGCCGAGATTTTCTCCCCGTATATCGAATATCCTGGTCGTCCAAATAGCGCGCATTGGAAACAAATACATTGACTAGATACCACATTCATATTTGCCTCGAATCTCCCCGCCGCAAGCGGAAAATCCAGCGCGAAATTATCCGTATTAGCTGCCATGGCATCGGCACTCAATACTTTGAGAGTGATAGACAGAATCTCATCATCGCCACAGCAAACTTCACATTCGCCTCTATAGCCTGGCGCTTCGAGATCCAAGACTGAAACATCGATTGAAGAGTCCGCGGAAACGTTTTCCGCGCGTCGAGCTCGATTTGATCTTCGTGAGAGGATTTCTGCTGAAAATCCCGATTTTTCGGCTTCGGATAAGGTGCGTAATGCTGTATCTATTCTTCGATTACGATCTCGGATGGATTGAAGCTGTCCATCGTTTTGTGCAGTGACATAAGCTCTCTGGTTCGCCTCGTGAGCATCACGTAGTTTAGACTGTAGAACAGTCTTGGTCTCGCCAGATACATCAGAATTGGCAATTTGTGCAATAAGGTCCGCAGCGCCGGATACATCTTTCAATTTTATCGTTAATTGTTCGATTTTATGGGCAAGGAGAAATGATCGGAGCTCGTTTATTTTTCCTCGGGATTTGCAGGCGAGGATTAGAGCATCAAGGGCTTCGTCTGCGAGAATTAAATCACGATCTTCATCTGAAGTAACCCCAGCTCGAAGAAGCGTGTCGAGATCCACAAGAGTTGGCTGTTTAATATGATGAGCGGAAGTTCCACTCCTCGCCGAGATTGAGATGAGCTGGCGTTGAAATTCTTGTTTCCGCTGTTGGAACTTGTATTTCCAGTTCGGTAATTTTTTTGATCAAAGCCGTTTCGTCAGGGAAACTGGTTAGCTTTTCCCACATATCATGGTCCTCGGCTTGGTCTAGAGCTGCGAAAGAGCCTTTGCTGGCTATGACATATATTTGGCCGCTTTGGTAGTCTTTAAAGAGACACAATGCATTTGCGCAGTTCGCATAGGATGTGATACCTACCGATACATTCGCATGATTTGGTGCATACTTCATATGCGAAGCAATCACAAAAACCGTCGCGCAATCAAAAACCCCCATTTCCTGTCCCAACCCCGCCAGCGTATGCACCTCGGAATCAGGAACCTCTCCATCCGTGAGTAAAAACCAAATATCCGCGTTATGGATCGCGTCCATGGAGCTTCGGTTCCTCAATATCCATTGTGGGGTGGTTCCTCCCTGGTCGGGAGCCCAGAACATTTGTTCCCAGTTCGTTGGGTCTTTGCATTTGGATCCCCATCTCGTTACTGTGTTTTTCTCTTTTTGAAGAGAGGCTTCGTGGATTCCTTCGGCAAATATGTGTTCGGAAATCAAACGAATACCAACGGTAGAACCTGAAGCATCGACTGCAAAATACTTTCTAGCGTTGGCGAATGAGGTGTATTCGATTTTGGTCTCGTCCACGGGCTCGAGGACGACTTTCCAAGAAGCCATGGCTGTTGGTATGTGAGTTTCTTTGCTGAATCAAACCAAATATAAGATTGTAGAATTGTACTCGTAGTAGACAGCCATTTATTTATACACAATTCAAAGTAAATTCGCCAGTGGTTCGAGTTGAAGATTAGTTGGGAGTCACTCCGGTATGGTGACTGTTCCCCGCCATCAATTAATAGGCGAACGGCGCCCAAACATTGAATGCACTGTGCCACCCCCACCAACAGTTGGGAAACAATATCCTCCAATGAATAAGACCTAACTAAATAGTTTCAATTTAAGACTCGATTTATTTTATAGGCTATATGCCGAGCTAATTATGAACTGATTTCACAACCTCGCAATCATTGGCCTGAGACGCATTCTTGCCATGAACAAACTTGTCGATGTATAAAATCTCGAGTCTAAAACTATCTACGGGGAAGCTTCTTCTGTCCAATTTCCCAACCCCTTTCGGGCACAGATCTTCGGACCTATGTCTAGTTCATCGTTACTTCCCAAACTGTGCCAGATCCCACCAAAAATATATTTACTTTCCTTGACTCTATGCACTAAGCATGGACCATTCATCTGAGTCATAATCATTTTCACTCTCAGCATACAGCTCAACTACCTTTCCTTTACCCTTAACTATCCCGTCATTCTCAACCTCCAACATTTCTCTTTCAGCGACCTGAGCAATATTCCCAGAACGATCACGCACAGGTATTTGTAAAAGCTTCACAAAATCCTCATCACAAACAGCTATAGCCCTCTCCAAAAACCGCTGTCCCGGACGTCCCTCCAGATTCAGCTGTTTGCGAATCACCTCATTTCGCATCAATATTTGCTCTCTCTCCATCTTCCAGTCTTCCATTAGCTGGTGAGAAGGATGGAGAATATTTGATGTTGATACAGGATCATGTTCGGAATGTTCGATCAGAGCTTGCAGTTCGTGGATTCTCTGGATGAGTTCCCATGTGCGAGTTAGGTGGATTTCGGTGTGTAGTAGCTCGGGACTCTTGGACCCGAAAGATTCTTCTGGCTCAAGGCTGGATTGGCTGAGAGAAGGGCTGGGGTTGGGGCTGGGGCTGGCTGGAATAATACCTACAATTTCTCGGTGTGAAAATTTGTGGCCAATTGTTGGAGAGTCGCTACGGGCTAAAGATGGGGATGTAGGTTCAGATGTGACTGGGAGTGGAGCTTCGATGTTCTCGAATTTCTCAGCCAGCTCAACAGAAACCAGGGATACAGATCCAGATCCAGTTGTGGCTTGAAGTGAAGTGTCAATTTCCTCGACTTGCTCGATAAAAACTGGGGGTGAGGAATTTCCCTCGTGAGTTCCGAATGTGATGGAAGAAGCATCGTTCTCCACGGCGGCCTGCGAGATATTTAAATTGTCTGTAGAAGGTATATCAGTTGAGAGGTGATGGTCTTCATTGTGAAGGGTGAGGAAGTCAAGCATTTCCGACAAAAGAATATCCTGATCAAGAGATTGCAAGTCTGGAAACTCCATTCTCAGTGCCGAATCAATGGCCTTTTCAAGAGATGGATATTCTGGAAACATCTCTTTCAGTGTCTCCATGTTATTCTCTACTAGAGACTTGAGGTTCTTGAAGTCGGCGGCGACGAACTTCACAGGCTGTGACGACGAATGGATATTTTGATTGTTCCACTCTCGATCAAAAAGATCTAGTTGCTTCTCGAAACCTTGAAGTTCTCTCTCAATTGCAGCGCGATCTTCAACCGCCTGTCTCCATTTACTCTGGTACATATAAACTGAACCAGTCCATCTTTGGCGGATATTTGCTAGGTCTTCCGTTGAGATTTCTCGAATGTCATCCATGATCATGTGTTTTACCTCTCGTATAGCTGGTATGAGATTTCGAATAGGCAGGTCGGGCAATGGATTTTCTTCTGCGGTCTTGGTCCAAAAATTGATCAAGTCGTGGGATAAGCTAACGAGGAAGATGCTGCATAGAAAACGAAATAGTGTGGATTGTAAATTCTTCAGATGAACGGTAATAAAGCGCTTTTTGGTTTCTGTCTCGCGCATCATCTTGACGTCGTGAACGCCATCTTCATGCGTACCGTAAATTTGAGTATCTGAACCACCTTCTCGAGACCTATCACTAGATTTCAACATCTTCGTGAAAGCCATTGAGCCTGCTTCGGTGTTCATCGCTTCAGATGCAGATTTCGATTTGATCAAAGGCCCAGCATAGTTACCTGGTTGTTTTCGCCAATATAACATAGCATCCGATTCCGAAAACGGACCAACAATACCTCTCAACTCTTGCTCAAGCTTGCGGAGTTCACAGTCAAAGGCGATACGATTCCCAGTTGGGTCGAAGTCTTCCTCTTGGGTATAGCGTGGCTTTCTCTTTTTTCTGGCGTCTTGGAAAAGCTCATGATTCTCAATGGTTCGAATGTCCTGTCGCATAATCTTGATAGCGTGAAGGACGAAGTGACGAATAAAACTACCATTCCCAATGTCCAATCCATGGTATGAGCTATAAATAGAATGATAAATCGGCACGAGATCTTCACGCTCGCGCTTTGAGAAAGGCAACTGGGACATGCGACGTTCGGATAAGAAGAGTTGGTGGGCGAATGCTTCGGTAACTGAAAGATACGCGGCTACCTCTGAGGAGTAGCTCTCAGGATGAGCAGTAGCAAACCCAAGGAGACAGATCCTCAACATGTTGAAGTCGTTCATCATGCGATTATACATATCGCCGAAAACTCTTGGACTTACTTTATCGCTTCTTTCCGATTTTGTTAGAAATATCTGAGAAGTGGGTTCGGATGGGACATCGGCATCAACCGAGGAACGTGGAGCGGGCTTCGGCAAAGAAGGGTATTGGATAGTCGAGCTTGAAGAGCCTGGGCGAGATCCATCAATCGAAGTGTATAAAGCATTCTTGGATGACGAAGGGCCGTCGTAGGGAATTGAATGCCGAGCCTTGAACTGCCTTAGTATTCCCTGCACTTAATTTAGATTGAGGGGAAGCGGGGAATATTGGTCTTGGATGGCAGCGATCTTTGTTAGCCCGATTTTCATCTACAGACCGAGGAACGGCAGAAGTACTAGGAGAGCCAAGGGACTGAAGCGGTGCTTCAATACTAAAAAATTTGTAGAGGCTGGGCAACTTGTCATGTGAGCGCCTAGCTCCAGAGTGTGCGATGTTATCGCCGGAGATATCGAGTCCTCGATTAGATGGGACATGGCTACTGACGTTAATTGAGGAACCTGATTGATGAGAAGGTCCGACTGAGGGATTATTTTCTCCGCGGATGCTTTGAGAACCAGGATGTTGAGTGTGGTCAATTGAAACAGGGATATATTGATATCTTCTAGCTGAGTGGTTCCTTGTATCTGGATACGCCATCGAATTGGTCGTAATGCCAAGACCTTGCGGTTTCGACATGTTGGGACTTGTGATATTGTGAAAGTATCAGTTAATATGTTCTTTTGCTTGCTTGATGTTGCTGAAGTATTTGATTTTCTGGATGAAGAAGGAAAGGAAGCTTTGGAGGTCCAAACGAACGAATTTAAAGGACGACGAGGAGGTTTGATATCGAGATCCATTCAGATGTTTCCTACTTCATAAGGTGTAGTGAGCCTTACAATCACTTTATTTCGCAAGCAATTCACACGGACAGTGCAACCATCTGCACCACAGAATTCACCAGGATTTCCTACAAAACTATGGTTTGACAGCATCAAAAGAATCACAAATGTCAGTTTGGGCCATTTTGTGGCAGGAACATGAAGCCATTCACATACCGCTATATCAAGTTATCAACAGCAGCCATAGGATCCAGGTAATGAATGGACCAATATGACGACCTCACCTAAATTGTGAACCGGCAGTTGGGGTCCCTCGTTTGCCGAGACCATAACTTCCCAGTCTGAATAATGGCCAGCATTTTCAATAATTCAGACTGCAGGTCAATCAATGATGTGGGATTCTTGCTTCATATATCTGTTTTACATACTCTACAGAATCCAAATGATATAACGAGTCTGTTCGAAATATGAGTTCTATATTGAACATCAAATTCTTCCTGGACTGTAATCCGGAGATAGTGGAAGCACCGATAGTGGTCTTTGACTTAGCGTACAATTCGAGCTTAAATCTACAACTATCCCTTACTGAATCATTCTGTCATATACGTATGAAGTCCCGCTCCTCGTGTGTATATTTAAAAGTACTGAAGATATTCAGAAATTGAACACGATACCGTCAAATCTCATCTAACTGAGCTTAAGCCCTTACCCCTTTGGTTAAGTTGCATATTAAGGCTGAAGCTAAACAGATTATATGATTGGAAGATTCAATGAAATGAATTGCCTGGTCTGCAATTTTATATCCACTTTTGAGCCACAATCTTGGATTGCCGATTCGGAGCGTTAAAAACTAGGCTGTATATAGTAAGGGCTTAAGCTCAGTTAGATGAGATTTGACAGTACACCACTTATCACTCTGGCCGGCAATCAAACCTCTTTCGCCCGTTCTATATCTTGGCTTATTACGCCATAGTTTTCATCTACAAGCATGCCATTGGACAAGTACATGATGAGTAAGTATGCCCAGTCCAGCCAGTCACGAAGAACATTTGTCTTGGCGATCTAAACCGATCAAGTTTAACCCGTAGTTGAGCTAAGGGCTAGCACGAAACTTAAAATTGACTACGCTATCCTAGTAGTACTAGTATCTTGGAGCAAAATCGTCACGTCACTGGTGTGAACTTCCTGGCACAATCTTCCTCGCCAGTTCAAAATGCATACAGACTGCGAATTTTGAAAGCTTGAATACTTCGACTTCAAGACTTGGGGGATGCTATTCACGTATATCATTTGAGAACCTACAATCGGTAGCTTTTTGATGCGAATCAAGAGAAACATAGACTCCGAGATGGACGTCATCGGCGTCATTGTCGTACTATGCTGGTTATGTGATTGAGGGGGTGAAAACCGTTAAACCTGGGGTATTTACTAGTGAGCAAGGCGACGAATACCGATGTGTTTTGAAGATCAATAGTCCAGTTTACCTGACAACCCACGAGATTAAGCGTCATGGAAATCAATAGTAGAACCAAGTATGTGTTTTTGGTGCACTATTCTTATTTAGTTCAAGTCTATCGAGTCATTGATATTCATCGTTTCTTATTGGGCTAGATACTAGGCGCTACTTAGTTGGTATACTGATGAAGTTCTATGATTTGACGAATCAAGAAGTCAAAATGCAATTTCTATTGCCCAAGTGGGCTTAGAGTCGCTTTCAACACTACTGAGATGCTCTAATTTGGTCAGAAGACACATGTATCGATCTTTATCTTAAACATTGGCTTAAGTATCTTCAATCTCCACCTGTTCAGCACACTTTTTTCTGAGATTTCAACATACAAAATTTCGTTCATCATGGCGGCTTTAATAAGATTGCCGCACACCATATCACGGTCGCTTAACCGCATCAATGTTGATAACCCCGTCGATAATAGTAACGCAACACCTCTACAAGACCTTGAATCTTCACGCCTATCCACCGAGACCCAGAGACGAAATGGGTTTTGCCAATCCAATGCAACCTCCAAAGAATCGCGTATGATTGAGGACATGAAAAATGGAAAGTAAGTACCATAATCACTCAAATACCAAAGACCTCTCTTCAGCTCATGCTAACTATCATTTAGCCAAACATGTCCCATATGTATCGAAACCGTACGCTTTACAAATGATCGTTTCTTGTGGCATTGTCGGGGCTGTTATGTTGTTACTCACCATCAATGTGCATTATCATGGGCCAATGCAAACCGCGGCGTCTGGGGCGCTAGCTGGAAATGTCCTCAATGCAGCGCTCCCCAAAGTTCCTCTCCCGAAGGAAAATGCTGGTGCGGAAAGGGCACTCCCATACATGATGACGCTCGAATTCCAAACACGTGTCGTAGAGTTTGTGGCAACAAAGCAAAGTGCGCTCATGGAAATGAGACGGTTTGTGCTAAGGCATGTCATCCAGGGCCATGTGCTCACGAATGCGGAAGATGTGCAAATGATCCCATACTAAAACCTCCCAATTTGAATACCATTTGGGGCAGGTTGAGAGGAAAGAACTTGGACTGCGGTGCTATCTGGCTCGAGTCTGTAGTCTCCGTATTGGTATTTGGGGCTATCTTAACCTACACCATTTTCCACATCAAGTGGCATACACAGCCATACTTATATCCTAATTTTCAAAATACCTTTAGTATGGGAGAGTCACTTTTCCTGATTTTCCTTGTGATCCTCTATATCCTGATTGGGGGGACATTTTGCGTTCACATCTTTACCGAGCTGGGATCATTCATTGAAGAGATACTCAATGGTACTCGAGGGCAGACTGAAGTACAATTTAAACCTGTTCGAACCTTGTTAAGTCGATTTTTCTTGGCGTGTATCCTAATGGGAGTCTTTATCCTGCCGGCCATCGGGTACGTGACAGATCCCCTTTCCATCTCTAGATCTCGTGAAACACATAACTAATACTTGTTATTGCTAGACTTATTGGAGGCCCAGACATCTTCTGGAATCGCCAAATGAAGGACTCTTGCAAGGGTTTCAATACCCGTATCAAAATGGGTAGAACCTGGGCAAGATCAAAATACCATCTCCGCAGTCTCAGTGCCTCAGTCGATAATCAAACTTTCTATCTCACACCTGTATTTGCACCACAGGTTCAGAGCAACGCAACATATCAATACTATCATCGCTTCTCTGGCAATACAGTCAACACCGCTCATATTGCCGTCGATGTCGATATCGATAATGGATTTTGGCGCGTGATGCACTTGGATGGACCCGACGAGCGCACAAAATGGTGGGCCATCGGGCGCAGATACTCCAAAGTGGAATTTCCAATTTTCGAAAACATCAATGAAACCGAGAAGCTACGCGGCACCATCGAAAAGCGCGGCCCTCACCTCTGGCTCCCCGAGTACAAAATGATCATTCAAGGAGTGGAAGATGCACGCCAACACTGCGAAATCGAACCTTTTGTTCGCGTAATCGATACCTCGGATGCCCCCCAGAAGTACGTTGAAAAAATGTTGAAATCGGACTGGAAGTGGAGCAATAAGTGGGATCCACGCGTGATTATGCGCGCGGCGAGTTTTGGTCATGGTAGACAGAGATTGGATATGTGTATGAGAGAGAATATTTATCGTACGGTAGAGGGCGAACCGTCGCAGGTCAAGGGTGTGGATGACTTGTCTCTGGTGCCGCTGGCGGTTATTGCGGCTAATAGAATGCGTATGGGTGAGGTGGGGAGATTGGATTGTAGTAGATAGACATATAGAAAAGGACGTGGATGGACTGAGGCTTGAATTGATTAATACTTAGATTGGTTGGCTGTCAGGTGTGCCTTTTACTTAGGGTTGGGCCCTTTATGTAAAGCAGAGCTAGATTTCGATAAGGCATAATTAGGGTACAACTATGGGATGGGATGCTCTGTTTTTTCTTCTTTTTTTTGAAGGAAATAGTTATTATTAAGATTTTATCAAAGTCATAAATAGATTCATAAAAATAAGAATTCTCTTTGGTTCAACTGATAATATAATCTTGATACTTTACGAGTATAAATAGAAGCTCTAGAACACATGATAATTACAAAACCCAAATTACTACAAAACTTTAAGCAAGCTATATCATTACGCTTCATCTAATTGCGTTTTTTCTAACCTTATCACATATCACTTGTATATATATCACTCAATAAATATATATAGTACCAAGCTTCGTAGTCGAAATTCCACTCAAAGTTTCCCTTTTTTTTCTTCAGTTCTGAATTAATCTCAAAGTTATACAAATATAAATTACTTTATCTTAACTTTGACTCGAAATACATCCCATATTCTCATTACTTGACTTTGATTTCACATCATCATACTATCTACCTCCACCAAACCCCAGAGTCAAAGTCAAACACACCTTCCAATCTTCCATATGAAATAATTCTTCTCCCTCGTTCAACTTCTACTCGCCCACTACTAATTAGAGATACTCTTCAAAAACCCACCAGGTTTCTAAATATTCCCCATCTGCTATCAACTCCAATATCAAAAATTACCCCAGATGTCTTACATTTCTTCCCCAAATTTCCAACATCTAACCTTATATCATCTTTGATCTTCCAATCCCCTATTCCACCAAACATACATCAAAACAAATCTCTTATAACTACTACTACCGGTATATAACTTCTCTCAAACTTTTCACTATACTCATGCTTGTTTATCTTATATACTTCTCATTAACCTTTTCTAGTATACCGTGCTAATTAAATTCCGCTCGCCCGTCGGACTCATCTAAATCTAGAACCAAATAACCAAATACCAAAACTTGAATCGTGTTGTCGTTATGCCGCGTTCTATCTCTCGCAGTGATCCGCGCTATTAATCGAGTACTGGAAAGGTGCAGCGAAGGACCGGAAGAGTTAGGTAGTTCCTGGTGTGGAGGGAAGTTTGTGGAGGTGATACTGTTCTCGCTCATTGTCAGGGTGAAGATAACGTTGTTGGAGCTCCTAATCAATTATCACTCTCCCGAGCGGCAGTCAGTGCCCTATAGAAACTCAGAAGCCCTTGGAGAGACCTTACTGAGAGGACTTTATACCGTATATCTAAATCGTGCCACCAAAATGACATATAACCCATGCCCTTTAAGCATTCCTAAGATCGTCACTCGAATGCCCCTCTCGAATATAGTTATATATTCATCTAAAAAAGAGTAAAGCCGCGTAAAGTATCGACGTTTTTTGAAAGCATAGAGGAGGTTCATAGATTCGATGCTGAGAGAATCAAAGTGGAAAGTTCAAAAGAAGTGACAGGTAGATGCTTCTGGCTCCGTGAATACCTCATTGAGAGTATCAAAAGGTAGACGAAAGTCTGACGATTTAATAGAGGATCTTCTAAGGAACTTAGGAGTGGAATACAGTATATGCCGGCGAAGTCGGGAATCAAGGAGCTTCGAAGAGTGCTTTAAGATCGCAGAAATTGGATAAGAGATATGCGACTAATGTGAAATCATTAACGATATTACAACTCGGAATATTAACTTTCAAACAACAAAACACTAACAGTGGTCCAAATAGGAGGTATTACTACTCGTAAAACCCATTCCTGTCCGTCCCAATATGGGTCACCATAAAACCATATGAAATACACTTGAGTGGATAATCAATATCAAAGAGCTTACCAAGCGATAGAACTACTCGATTGGTTTAAGCGAGGTCATTCAGTTAGTGTGACATCATCCTGTTTTCCTTATCACGCTACTTCTTTTATTCATTCCGGTCCCGAATAATCACTTGTCTGTATTACTTCATTTCTATTTTCGACTTATGAATATTTTCATTTCTGTTACAGCGTTACTCAACCTAGACATTCCTCTTTCTACAGGGAATAACAGGGTCAAAGAGTCGGCGTAGACGCAATGAGCAATATATTTCCATTTCCATCTACATTAGTCGAGTATAATATAATTATCCACAATACAGTACATCGAATCAAAATACCCTACTCGAGTAGAACCAAGAAACCAGTCAAAGACAACACTTCCCGTTATTGTTATTTTCCAATCAATCAATTTTCTATAGCATAGTTTCGACTTAAAACCCCTCGCTTACAAATAAATAAATATATTCATACCCCCCTCCCTTTCCCCCCGTAATGAATACTTCGAATCAAATCAATACACTTCATATCCGAATTAATCATAACTCCCCCTCCCCCCTTTCATTCAATTCAAAAACATCTCCATAGTCGAGTATACATATCATCATCATCCATTTCAAACCCCAAATAATTCTATATTTTGAATTCTTTTCCAGTCATTGCTCTATAATTTCGATTTCGATTTCGATTTTAATCATGTATTCCAATTTCCGAGCGTATTCATACCCTCAAACAAACATATCAAATCCAAATATCTTTATTTGAGATTTGTTCCGGGCCATAGCTCAATATCCCCATTGTGAAATACCCTACGTACATTTCGAAATGAGCTAGATTTCAGAGTGAGCTAGGGCATTTCACAATGAGCTAGCTTACACGATTCATAAGGATATTCCGAAATGAGCTAAGAATATTTCGAAATAAGCTAAGGATATTTCGAAATGAACTAAGGATATTCTGAAATCAACTTAGTATTTATAAAAATATATTTAATATTTTAAGAATATTGTGACGGAACAGACGACTCTCTTCCGTCCAATGGCTCATACTACGTACGTAGCATGATATGACGTCTCTCTTGGACCTTCCTTTCACAGCTTAGAGCCCTAGCTCCATCATACGATACATATCTCTAGGACTCTTTCACTCCTTTGGGCCTAGCCCTTATGGCTCCCAATACCTGTATATATAATCCTCCTTTTAGCACCCTACATAGCTCTTCACTTGTAGATTCTAAGTACACAATCGGAGTACTGTTTATACCCTTTTGGTCACACATAGGATCTGAGATATCCTGAAAAACGATTCGAAAAATACAGCAAGGCGAATTGTTTTTCTGGCACCAAGGAGCCAGAGTCAAAGCTCGTATATTCATACTCTCAAACAGATATTTCAAATCCATTTTCATATCCATATCCAAATCCAGATCCAGTAATTCCCTATAACTTCTGATTCGAAAAACATTATTCATTGCAAATATACTTATATTCACTCTAAATCTTATACCCAATAAATATCTTTACCCAAGACTCATCACCCCCCAATTTCCATTCCAAACCCTTTATCTTCAATTTCCCACCATATACACATTCATACATATATACATTCACATCCCACTACACTGCACCCTATAACAAAACAAATATAAAAATGTCCTTACTTATCCTTGATAAATTTCATATCCAGTCACACTCGAAATTATATGATAGACTTCTACAGAGAGCCTATGTGCTCAAAAACCCCGTACACCCCCTCGATTTTCATTTTCATTTTCATTTTCCTTTTCCTTTAGAAACAAACAAACAACCATCTTCAGATTCAAAAGACATCGACATACAATACAACAAATACATACAAAGCAAAAGAAACTTCATTCATCATTTACCCGCATCGACTTCGAATACAAGTTATAACAAGCACCTTGTATCTGGAGCTCATATCTTCGTTGTTTAGCCTTATTGGATCATTCCAACAGATTCCTCTCCAATAGGCGGCTTCAACGTGGACATCAAGAGCTACCTTCGCTATCCCATACCGGCTTCAGTATATTCTTTCCTGAGCTGGGATCATTCATATCAAACCACAAACACATCCCACCTCTCTCAACGCTTTCTGACATCATCAACGCTCAGCATAAAGACGCAAAATCCGAAAAGCATCCAACGTCATATCCCGCAGACCTTCAACCAGAAGATCTGCATCAAGTATCATATTGGACAAACGCCATTTGCATTCGACCTATTTAGTTATGAATTCGCCAAACCGTAATGCATGGAATAGGCATAGCAATCAACAAGGATATCAAACACCATTGAACACAGGTACTACTTGGCCTTGCCAAGCATACTATCAAGAACAGGGAGCCAATTCAGCTTCTCAGAATCCGAATCAGCCAGATACATAAGCTATTTCTGGGTCAGTATTGCCAAACCATGATGCATGGGAAGAGTATGGCATTCTACAGGTATATCAACCACCATTGAACACAGGTACTTCTTGGCCTTCCCAAGCATACTATCAAGAACAGGGAGCCAATTCAGCTTCTCAGTATCCGAGTCAGCCAGATGCATCAGCTACTTCTGGGTCAGCATTGCCAATAGTTTGGGACCGTAATATGGCGAACGATCCGAACGTGCCCATCGAAAGGGGTCCAATGTCCAACCAATATGCCAACGACCCTGGATTTTATTCAGTTCCAGTATACTCCCCCGGGGGCCCAGATAGATCATCGAATATACCAATGTCAAACCAACACCCAGGCGACCTAACAGTTCCCGATCCACCCGCGGTAGAGAACCCTCCAGTAAAATATCCATGTAAAGGGGTCTCGCCAGATATCATTTGGGAATACTTTCTCCGTTCGGATATGTTTTCCGTAGACCGGAAGCACCTGAACCCCCCGAGCTTCAAACTTATCGATGTTATCGATCTCTACCTATTCACGAGGCTGTGCTCTAGTCTCAAACTGACGGTAATGAACCCTCCTTCGGACATTAAGGTCTATGAACACATTGCAAACATTATGAACAGTCCGTGGTTGGAGAGAAACACGTCTATATTCCCGCAACGCCCGCACCTTTCACAACCATATACGACTACCAATTTTTACAATTATACCATGGTGGAATTAATTTTCGAATCCTTTCAAAATACCAGCAATCCTCATCGGGAAATGCCAGTAATGGCGGCCATTACGTGGTTCGACGGCATAGATGAGAATGATCGGTTTACTTATCTCTTGGAACCTCTTTACAATGCCATAAACCAATATTACAATGAACGTGAAACACCCGAGCTTATAGCTCTAAGAGATATAGTTTGGGAAGCCAACGAGTACTCATTCACGCGTTCCGAAACATCCAATGCCGTTGTCGAGCCACCAGCTCCAGAGCCTAACCCACCTACTCAGCCACCTGAATCTTCACATAGGTCTTCACATGGAACTCCACGTGGATCTTCGAGTTCGCAAGATAGAACAGGATACATTGAGGAAGAACGGGAAGAGAGATGCCACTTCAGAAAGCATCGTTAAGACGAAGATTTCTAATTTCGGAATTCCGAGTGTGTTGAGAAAACACTCGTTCTCAAATTAGACATGCGCCTTCGTTATTGGCATTCTCAAAAAAGCAGTTAGAAAGTAAAGGTTGGAGAGATATCAGACATTAGACGCGGTAGTAGCCCTGAGACGAAGCAAATACGCCTTTAGAAGGTATGAGAAGCCATGATGCGCTAGCCGCACGACTGAGGATTTCTTTAAGAAAAAAGCATAGAAAGACATCAAATGTAGATGCGCTGGTCGCACTACCAAAGGATGTAGATAAATGAACAAAAGACAGACAGACAGATAATACCAAAATAAAACACGTTGCTTTTACACCATCCATCCTCCAATCTTTGATTTTGATGTCCCAACATTCACGTGATGTAGAGTTTCCCTTCTGGTAGAGGTCCGAGATCGGAGCAACTGTGCAATAGAGCATGGAAGCATGGAAGCTGGTGAGGTCAGGAACTGAGCTCAATCATTTAGAAAACTGGTGTCCGTACGTGAGGTAGATGTAGTGATTCGTGAAGGGTAGAAGATTAACAGTTAGGACCCTCATACGGTCATACCGGTGTTGGGGATCAATATGGAAGGTGCGACTCTAGTGGATTCTATATAGTCTCACCTCACATAATAATAATAAGATCACCCTTCTTCATACCTATAAACAGAACCCCTTCACCGGTCATACCGGTATTTCATCGCCTTCCTGTGATAACGCGTCAATTATAGTGGAACTAAAACCGCGCATCCATTGCCAATGAAGCCGCCCAATGCCTAGACCTCACGTGTGACCATGGGTCTCGAAGATCGCCGCCAAGAAGCACATTGAACTCCAAGGGTTCAAAGGTAATGATGCATCACTACTAACTGGTGTCATAATATTGTCCTAGCACTTGGCATGGATGCACATCAATCAAGACCTATTACCCCGCAGAATACCTCTGCTGCATTCATAGGTAATTTCAACGAACGGATAATCGAGATTCGAGACTCGGTACTGTACTGGTAATACCCATATCATATTCGGAGAGTTGTGCATATGAATATCACACGGAGATTATTCGATATTGGTTGTCACGGCCCACGCAGAGATACCGAGTTTGGTACATGTCTCGAGCGTGTATAGAATGAAGGGGAAGCTCGGAGAGTGACTAGATACCGGGAGAACCGGGAGGGCTGGTGTGGAGGATACCGAGAGATGTCCGGCAGCTGGGTGATTGGTTGAGAGGTTATGTAAACACTGAATTGCTTTACCCCGCAGGCCTGCACTGCAGCAAGGGAAATAGTTGGAATTGACAGCTCGAATGGCTCGAATGTGTAGAAACAGCATATCTAAGCGGAAATTATACAGCCAAGCATGTATTGTATGTACTGTATCACTCTTTGAAAAGTTAAGTGGGAATAGAACTATATGTCAATCTTTTGAGCTTCATATCTAGAGAGTTACCATTGAGTTACTGTAGTTCTGGATAGGTTTCCCATTCCTGAACTTACCTAGCTCTCATCTCTACCATTGCCGTAATCTCAAGTTTCAACGTCGACGAGAAAACACCATGACTAAAACAATCCGAATACCGATCAATTGATACCAAAGCATTCCATCCAGCTCGGAGACGTGGACCAAAATGCTAATGCTAATAGGCAAAGTTGCCAAAGACGGCAATAACGTTGGATGTTATGTGTAAGTGACCACTTTTCATTTGTGGAAAGTTTAACCCAATACCGGTACAGTATCATTGGAAAAAGAGGGGAAATGGTGGAAATACCAAGTAATCGTTGCTATGGAGTGAGTGAATGTAGTCCTCAGTTCCCGAGCTGAATAGGGAGGGGGTATCGAATGTCGAATGTCGAAGGTTATATATACCGAGGAGCTTTCCCCAAGTCTTGGTTTATATTTCACATACTTACTTCATCAACTTCATACTCTTTTTATCAGATATTTATAACAAAGGTAAGCTTCCATTCCTTCCAAAAATACAATAGCCGATAGCTTGGACAGCTTCATTAGATTCAAAGATGACCATCATATCTTGAACCTTGTGAAGTATTTAGTCCTTTAAGCTTTCTTTTAGCTTTCTAGTCTGTTCTTATTTACTTGATATACAGGTTTACTGACAACATTTGCTTATATAGGTTAACCCCAAATAACACCCCTCTTCCAAATACAATACATCATCTAACACAACCTCATCTACATAACAGACAAATCCTCTTTGTTTCTTCATCACTCTACCATCAAATCAACCAATTCTTTTCCAACTACAAACCAATCGCACAAATAATACAAAATGGTATTACTCACTCGTTCTCTTCATCGTCTGGCATCAAGACCATCTTCCTATTCCCGTTCCCTCTTCACAGCTTCTGCTGCGGCAAGACCTACACTCACACCCACCACGACACGAACAATTGCTTTTCGTTCCCAGAAGCTCAATCATATTTTTAAAAACATCAGAATGCTAACGAGTGATAAACGTGAAAAGGTCAAGGTACTTCTTGTATTGTACGACGGAGGAAAACACGCAGCCGAGGTATGTTTTTATCTACTTTACCCCTCTTACTCAATTGCGGGGTAACTTCCCAACCACTGCAATTGAGTATCACATCTTTAGTCAAGATATTTGATTTACTCACACGATTTGAAACCAACCAGGTCCCAGAACTTCTCGGCACAACTGAGAATGAGCTCGGTATCCGTAAATGGCTCGAAGACCAAGGACATGAGCTCGTCACCACCTCCGACAAGGAAGGCGAGAACTCTGAATTCGACAAACACTTGGTAGATGCCGAGATCATCATTACCACTCCGTAAGTTCCCCATGCTCCTACACCCCAACGCACAGAAACAAACACTAACCCCCCCCCTAGTTTCCACCCCGGCTACCTCACCGCCGAGCGTCTAGCCAAAGCCAAGAACCTCAAGATCGCCATCACCGCCGGCATTGGCTCTGACCACGTTGATCTCAACGCAGCCAACGCAACCAACGGCGGCATCACCGTTGCCGAAGTAACCGGATCCAACGTCGTCTCTGTCGCCGAACACGTCGTGATGACGATTCTCGTACTCGTCCGTAACTTCGTACCCGCACACGAGCAAATCCAAGCTGGCGAGTGGGACGTCGCGGCCGCCGCCAAAAACGAATTTGATCTCGAGGGTAAGGTCGTCGGTACGGTTGCCGTAGGCCGTATCGGAGAGCGTGTCTTGAGACGTTTGAAGGCGTTTGACTGTAAGGAGTTGTTGTACTTTGATTACCAGCCATTGAAGCCGGAGATCGAACAGGAGATTGGGTGTAGACGAGTTAACGATTTGGAGGAGATGTTGGCGCAGTGTGATGTTGTCACTATTAACTGTCCTCTCCATGAAAAGACCCGTGGTCTTTTCAACAAGGAGTTGATCTCCAAGATGAAGAAGGGTATGTTTATATTCCCTACCGACCCACTCCTAACTCACATCACCTCACCCCAACAACCCAACCCAACCCACTAACCCTCTCCCCCTTTAGGATCCTGGCTAGTAAATACCGCCCGCGGCGCCATCGTCGTCAAAGAAGACGTCGCCTCCGCGCTCGCCTCCGGGCACCTCCGCGGCTACGGCGGCGACGTATGGTTCCCGCAACCCGCACCTCAAGACCATCCTCTCCGCTACGCAAAGAACCCCTTTGGCGGTGGAAACGCCATGGTTCCACACATGTCGGGCACATCGCTCGATGCACAAAAGCGGTATGCGGATGGTACTCAGGCGATTTTGGAGAGCTATTTGTCGGGTAAACATGATTATCGTCCGGAGGATTTGATTGTGATTGGAGGCGATTATGCTACGAAGTCTTATGGGGATCGGGCGAAGAATAGTGGGAGTTCGGGGGCTAATAAGGCTTGAGGGGGTTTAGAGTGGATGAAATGGATGGGTAAATGGATGTATGATTGATTGATGATGATGGAGATGGGAAAGGAAACGGATATGGTTTTAGGTACCTAGGCAAGGCAAGGCAAGGCAAGGCAGCTTTGATGGAATTCAAGCTGCTGCTATGCTATGCTATGCGATACGATACGAAATTAAATGAAATGATATAAATATACCTACCATATTGTTTGCTTGCTTCTATGTTTGTGTGCACGCATAATAAAACTTATCTTGACTACTTGATGATAAATAAATGAACAATCATTCCTTCATTCCTTCAGTTTGTTGATACTGCTTGCTCACTGGGATGGATATATCAATCTTCCTCTAGAGACTATCTGAATATCGAACGAAGTTTTCAAATGTCTCAAAAAACTTCTCTCTATCTACCAGTACCAAATTGCTTCATAGCAGAGGGTGTGTTTCATTTCATTTCAATTCATTTCATATATCGAGCAGCATCTATCTCACTCAGTATTCTATCATCAATGATCATTGAATGATGGCATCGAATTCCCCTATTTATAATACACCAATCTTCCTCTTCCTCTTCCCTCCAGAGATAAATCTTAATATCAATCAATATCAAAGGGTTTTCAAATATTTCTCCCAAAGAACCTCTCTCTAGAGTCTACATATTAGAATACTTCAGAGCAGAGTGTACATTTCAATTCACACATCAGACAGCATCTCACTCAGCATCCATCCAGAATTCCATAATCCCATCAGATCCCCCCATTTGTATGTAATACACCAAAATCCCAAGATCTTCAAAGCAAAAGAAAGGTAGGTAATTACTTTCAGCCATCAAGGTAGGGCAGGTATCATATTAATCACACAGCTATCATAGCCTACATACAAAGTATCCATCCATCCTCCAATCTAAGCACCGCCCTTTCTATTCTTCCTCATCATTCTCTTCTTCTGAATAATTTGTGCATGTTTTCTTTGTTTTCCCTCCTCGTCACCATCGGCTGTTTCATTGCTCGATGAAAGTTTTGATTTCTTTCTATCTTTTGATTCGGAGGAGTCGTCTTCGGCTTTACGTTTACCCCTATAGAGTCTATTAGTACGGTGAAATCTTGATTTATAGGCTGTATACTGAAGGGAGAAACTTACTTGAAGGCAGCTTTGTCGGTGCTTTTTTCTTTCTCGAATCCCTTTCCTGCACCCTTTGCGGCAGCTTTTCCTACGCCTTTTCCGGCACCCTTGATGCCCTTTCCACCATTCCTCATTGTCTTCATTTGTGAATCTCTGCCTGCTACCTTTTTGGCACCGACGACTTCACCTTTGGCCATTTGGTCGGTGACTTCTTTTGAACGATTGCGAGCTTTCTCTTCATGTTCTTTTCGCCTCGAGACGACTTGTGCATTTTCAATGGCAAATTCCACTATCATTCTTTGTTTCTTTCCCTGTGAATTGTCGAGTCCCTGTCCATTCAACCTTCTCAATCCCATAAGTGCCCATCTGTGACTTGAGTATTCAACAAATCCATATCCTCTGCTTTTGCCAGCTCCGCTTTCCTCGCTGACTTTCTTACCTTCTCTACCTTCAAATACAACTTTTGCCTGTCGAACAATACCCTTTCCTTTAATCTTTCTTTGCTTCTCGGCCTCGCGCATCTCCTCGCCACCTCGAGCTACTTCTTCCTTTGAAAGTTGTTGACGTATTCCAGCTTTGACATCCGTAGCGAACCCGACGACAGCCTCACGAGCTAGAGCTTTGAGAGCTTTAGAGTCTACATTACGAGGTATATTCCGTATCGCCAGACGTGTGAGACTAAGATGTAGAGTAGGGTTGCCTTGGATAAGTTTCTTTCTTTGCATGGCGCTGTCCTCGCGCATTTTAACCTCAGAGGGTGGAAGTGAGTCGTATAATGGAGTGCCCTTAGCCACAGTACCCTCTTGAAGAAGGTAGAGCTTTCGTTTGTCCTTGTCGCGGTTATCACGGAAGTGTGAACCCTCCTCGGTGAGCTTCACTGCTTGATCCTTCTCGACGGCCTTGGATATCTGGAGAAGACGTCCTTCAATGGTATAAGAACCTGTTGAGTCTGCATTCTCGGGTTCCAGGAGAGAGTGTTTGATCTGTGGAGTCTCTCCCTTCTTCATTGCGTTGGCCCCCGTAGGTTGATACTTGGGACAGTTCCGGAAACAAGAATCGGCGTCGTCGACATTATAGAAACATACGAAACCAGTGCCCTTGGGACGATCGGTTGCCTTATCCATAACCACTCGAGCATATCTAACAGGGCCAAATTGTTCAAAATGTACCTTGAGGGTTGCATCAAGAGCCGTGAATGGGAGATTGCGAACGAAAACCGTCGAGGAATTATCGGTAATGAAAGTCTTTTTCGGCTTCTTCTCCTCAGCCTCCTCAACTTCATCCATATTGTCGAAAAGAGCACTGTCATCGTCGTCATCTTCGTCGTCAATGTCCTCTTCATTCTCTTCATTCTCTTCATCCGTAGGCTCACTCTCATCCTCCGATTCTAATTGGTCTCCAAAATTCTTCATGAAATTGGCGACATCATCATCTACATCGTCCTCGTCCTCATCCGCCTTATTTTTCGTCTCTTTGGGTTCGTCCTGGGGCAAATCCGCAACCATTATACCTGCGTCCTCAGTTTTCTTCTTCTCCCAGACATCCTTCTCGACGGCCCAATCTACAGCTAATTGTCTGCCATCGATCTCAAGTCCGTTGACTGCGGCCAGTGCTTTTTCCGCATTCTTCTTGCCTCGCATAACGATAAATCCAAACCCCGCTTCTTTTCCCTTAACCTTGGGCATCGTAGAATACTTGACCTTTCCGAAGCCCATGAAGAGCTTGGCCAATTCGTCGGGAGTCTTGACGCTCCATGGCAGATTTCGAATGATAAGTTTAGGTGGTGCTTTGGATTCGGCCATTTTTTCTTGTCGAGCTTTTTTAACAACAGCGGCTTCAGTAGCAATTGCACTCTTCTTCCTCGGATTCGATCCCTCATCTTTACTTGTCGCGGCCGCATCTCTGGAACGTGGTTGAGCGATCTCAATCTTCATTTTACGACCTTGAAATGCTTGGCCATTGAATTCGTCCAGAGCTCTCTGAGCGTCTTCCGCATCTGCAAAGGTAACGAATCCATATCCTTTTGATTGTTTCGTAACTGGATCGAGTACAACAGTGGCATGCTTCAGGGGATAATTGTCGGAAAATAATTCAGTCAATGCTGAGCTTGTCGCTGTTACAGGCAAAGAACGAACAAACAATGAACGGCGGGCAGATGAATTTGTTTCTTTTCTGAATTTTTTCGAGGCGGGTCCTTGAGATTCTTCATCTACTGTATCGATGACAGCATCATCATCGAATGATCTCTTTCTTCCTTCGTTTCCTTCGGACATATTGTCGTATGCTTCAATGCTTAATCTTTTTTTTAAAATTCAAAAATCAACCAATTTTCCCGATATCAAAAAAATATTTCCTATCAGAATCAAACCCGGCATTTTCTATAGAGGCTAGTCTATTTGAAGCCTAGTACATGTGTAGCCAGTTGAATGGAGCCGACAGGAACAATTCAAAATACATTTTGTTTGATTCTGACTCGAGAAGCATAGAGAGTGTTTTAATATTCTTACAGACTCTAAACGATTTGGAGTCTTCCTACCTGATTAACAATGTACCTACCTATATATTATATGATTCAATTGCTTTTTTATTCGCCCTTATGAATAAAACAAATAAAGGTAAAAATTTCGAATAGAAGGATATTAGGATATTAGTAGCCTCGGTCTATCCTGCACGTGACTGTGACGCTAAAATTTCACTTCGGTCAATTCCATTTGACAAAGCGGCGCCTCCCAATCCATTGAAACCTCACATTGATAATCTGCCCGACCAAGCAGAAATACAAAACCATCAACGACATAACGAATCCAACGTTGATTATACGAAAAACCATATCGCTTTGATAGTACGACGCAATCGACCTACATGATATAATAGCACAGGTCGGTTTAGCACTGCCGTCGGCGGTGTGGGTGTTTCTACAACAATCAACAATCGTTCTCGATCCACCCTCTCCTTCGTTCCCTCTTACATTTCTTCGAGCGTCGAGAATCGACCAACAGTAACTCCCTTTCAACCTCGATACTCGCCCGATACTCTGTACAATACATTCATTCGATCTCTTTCCATTCAAAATAAATATTGGGGCGCATTCTGATACCGGTTTTTTACAACCTTTTCGATTAAAGTATTTTAGTACGGTCGAGGTCGCAACGATCAAGTTTTTACACTATCGTAGTCGCCTTTCGACTTTTCTACAACTTCGATTACTTTAATATTCATATCTATATCACCGAAATGCCTTCTGATCTTCCACAAACACCACAAAGTCCTTCCAACACCCCAGGCTCTTCCGATATATCCTCCAAAAGCATAGTTTCTCCACGAATCCATACTTCACTTCCGACACCTGCTCACAGCACCAACGGCAGGATGTCGACTAACAATTCTGCCGCCGACGCGTTTCAATCAGAAGATCTTTCAAATAAACGCAAACGAGATATTGAAGATTCTGGTGATCGAGACCTGAAGAAAGTTCATGTCGAGGACCGCAGACCTAGTATCGATGACCTCCATCAAAAAGTTGGTAAACAATACTTTGTCTGTAGAAATTGTAAGGATTCCTTCTTTCCAGTTGATCTAATCCTCCAGTAGCAATAATTTTCAAGCTCATCATCTATATTATATATCTTGTCTGTCATTTACATGAAACATTTCGTTAACATGAAATGATGTACAGATCAAAAGTCACAGCAGATGAGTATTCAACAGAATCTATTCGAACGGTTTGGCTTGAACGAGATTGCTGCAGGTGTTGCTCGGGTCACTCCAGATGGAAAGAAGAACATAATTCGAAAAACTTACAAAGGATACATAAAATCCCTGGCTATTGCCGGGCAATTTGACGCTGTTAAGGGTGATCATCAAGAACCTGGATCACTATTTTCTTTGGTCAATCCTGCTCTTGTCCCAACCAGAGAGATATGGGAGGAAACTCAAGTGGAAGGAAAAGAAATTGATAAAGGCATCCCGGACGAACTACGACCCGCTCTTAGCAAAGCTACAATCATGGCTTATGGTCCCATTCCAAGAGAACATTGGAATTCATCGGTTCTTGGGGACATGGCTAATCGACTTGCCACTGAATCTTTGAAGGTTGTTGCTCCCAAAAAGGCTGTTGCTCCCAAAGCAAAGGCCCCAATGTCGCAAGGCACGACGGGTGTACCAAAGCAGAACAGAGGTGCCGCAGATATCCCTCGTCCAAAGAGAACCGTTAAGAAGCGCTCTTATGGCGATGCAAGTTATGAAGGTTATGGCGAGGGTTACGTTGATGACGATACTGGATACTCAACCGGCGAGAACGCTGATGACAGAGCCGGTGGTCGAAAGCGACCTAAGAAGGTAGGTAGTGTGCTATATCCATCCAATGTGCAAGCTAACAAGGGAAAGACTCCAACATCTCATGGCTTTCAAGGACCAATGCGTCAAAGCTACGGACCTGGAATGGTCGGTGCTTGAGGATGAGGGAAAGAAAACTTTCTTCCTCCTTTCAAGGTTGTTAACTCCAACCAAAAAAAATTCGCGTGTTTCTTGTTGACTCGTTGATTCGTTGCTTTATGAACTTACACGCTTTTTATATCCAACATTACAGATCGTTCCCGATAATAGGTAGAATGATCAAGCTGCTCTTGAGAATGAGCATGCAGAGCACGTTGTTGGTTTAAAAGCACGGCACACAGAACTAGCCATGAGATTTTCGGTCTTTGTATGATAGAGAACAGCGGTGCTTTCTTCGAGAGGTCTGCATTTGATGATAGCACGCTTTTTGGGCTCTTTTGTCTCGGAGGGTTTCTGATGACTATTGGGGGAAAATTTGGCAAGTAGCTGCATGCATGGTAAGGATAATTAGTATTTGGGCATCACGTATTACGGACCCAGAACGCAAAATAATGAAAAATGATCAAAATATGTGATCCCTTTTGATTAGTTGATGTGATGATGTTGGTATTATTGGAAATAAATGTTATGGTTTTATGCTTGCCTATGCCTCCGAGTCACTCAGTACCTGCATTTCTCTTAATCTATTGTTACTCCATAGAAGAGAAAGATGTCCCAAGTTTCACATTATGTTAATGCTAATCTAAATACCAGGTACCTACCTAAGTAAGTAAGTACTACCTAGGTAGGTAGGTATGGTATCTATTATTCAACCCTCCGATGATTCAACCCTTCAACCCTTCAATGAATAAATAATATCTGATTCATATATTGGCAAGATTACTTTCTCAATTGAACGCTTCATGAACTTCATGTTGATCAGCTGCATCTGCTAGGATCCCTCCAATGTACTGACCCGGTTATCCATAGGTGCGGCCATTAGTGCCTCGCTTATTTTGGCCTGTTCCTGTTCAACGTAACTTTCTATTCCGTCATCCATCCGAACACCTTTACATATACCGGTATTGATAATTCTTCACTCTCTTCATCATTTCCTCAATCGATCTGCCATCATGGGATTCTATAAGTACTCTACTCTCGCTCTTCTTGCTCTTCGTGCTGTCAGTGTATTTGCTGCACCAGAAAGTGTAAGTTTAATGATTTCCAGTTGTGGACAGCTGTCATAAGCTATCGGGAAGCTTAAGAGTACTGATTTTATATTGATCAACAGACTGAAGACCATCGCCAAGAAGCTGCGGCAGAGGGTTTCGAAACCCCTCCATCCAATCTCGCGGTCTCGGTCTCTGCTTCGTTCCCTCAAACTGAAATCTTTGGCATCAAGCTCATCAACGGCCATGCTTCGCAAGCTATTCTTTCCTTTAAGAATGGTGAGCCTGAAGCTGTGCAAGTAGCTTTTATTGGAGGCGCATTATCTACTCTGCAGATACTACCAGAAGGAACTCATCCAAGTGCTGCCATTGTGCGCAATTTGACCTCGACAAGATATGATATCGAGATTCCAGCTGGCGAAGAGCAGACTCTACCATATAGCTTTACTACCGATTTGAATCCTCAGGATCTGAGATTAAACCTTATCGCGGTCGTGGCTAGCCAGACAGGAGGTGTTTATCAGATTCAGGCTTTTAATGAGACCGTTACTGTTGTTGAGGCTGCTACCAGCATCTTCGATCCTCAAGTGTGAGTTTTATTTTCGCAGTACCACTCCCGAAGATTGATTCAAACTGACATAATATTAGCGTCTTCTTGTATCTCTTTCTCCTCGCAGCATTCGCCGGTACCCTCTACATGGTCTATAAGACCTGGATCGAAACTCTATTCCCTCAAACTCGCAAAGGTGGTAAAGGTGGTGAGCGTGCCAAGCGTTCATCTGGAGGATCCAAGAAGGCTGTCGATGTTAAGGATCAAGTCTCTGTTATTGGTGCTGATGGACCAGCTGTTACAACTCAATCTTTGGCCCAACAAGCTTACGATGAGAGCTGGATCCCTGACCATCATATCAACCGTCCAACTGCCAGACGTGTCAAGAGCGGCTCTTCCAAGATCAAGACTAAGATCGTATCCGAGTAAATTTACAAGGGATCTTAATTGCACATATGAATGGGATGTAAGAAACGAAAAGGAAACTGGGGCCTGGTTCTCGGTCTAGGTCAATGACGGAATGAAATCGATTTGTTTTAACATGAATGGGAGAGGGGGAAATCATTTGTACAATACCAGAAAAGTGGATGGCTATCTTTAAGTCGAAACATATTGCTGTATCAAAATTAATTTTAGGATGTACAAATCACTTTTTGAGTAACGAATTAACATTTCAGTGAGCTCGTTACTTGCAAAATTACTGTATACTAATCTAACCACTATTACCAATCGAGTAAAGAACCACGAGGAAAACTTTGAGAATGGTGGAGATATGCGGTTAACATGGTTTAGATTTGTATCTGTATTTGAATCCTCGCCTTCCCGACAATATTTCATGGGGGAGATTGTTGATTGCGAATAGATGAGACGATCGCGCCCATACGAAGTATTTTATTGTAATCTTAGCATCGTAATATGCATACATGTACATGGGTTTGCATACACGATACAGTAAGCATGATTGCTATATTAGATGTTGATGGGGATGAGGATGAGGATGGGGATTGGGATGGGAGAGAGAAGGGGGAGTGGGGAGAGAGGATAAGGGAAGGGGGGTGGTATAGGAGAGGGGAGAGAAGGGGAGGGGAGGGAAGGGGAGAGAGGATGGGGGAATAGCGAGGGGGAAAGAAGAAGAGAGGAAGAGGAGGGAAAAAGAGAGAGAGGGAGAGGGAGAGGAAAGAAGGAAGGTTGAGGGGAGAGGGGGGAAGTAAAGGGAAGGGGAGGGGAGGGTATGATAAAAGGGAGAGTGGATAAGATTGAAGATTAAGGGGGCATAAAAGTTTGAAGTTAGGGGAAGAGAGAAAAATTAATACATATAACTACACAGATACAAATAAAACAGCGCCTCACTCACCGCCCCCTTCCCCTATTATATATCGGTATACTAATATACTAATATACTAATATACTAATAAATCAATATTCAATATTCAATACTCTAGTCGAGTAATATCGAAGGTTGAGGATTGAAGATTTAATAATATGTTTTTATTTTTTGTTTTGTTTTTGGATGGGAGGAGAGAATTGGGAGGGGGGAGAGAATTGCGATGGAGGATGGGGATAGAGGATGGACATATGGAGAGGGGGTTTTTGAGGGGTTTAGTGGTTCAAGAGGGGGGTTCGTGGAAGTATATATTATTGAGAAGGAGAAATTGAGAAGATGGGGAAGGAGAGGGGGAAGGAGAGGGGGAAGGAGAAGGAGAGTTAGGTGGTATTGAAATTATTGAGTTGTTTTGAGATGGTAGAGGAAGGTAAAGTTGAGGGTAAGATGGATGGAGGGATGGAGAATGGGTTAAGTTAGGGGAATAGATCCCGGTGCTGATTAGCTGATTAGATGATTAGATGGGATGTTCATAATATATAAAGCAGCTTTTTAGAATGGGGGATTATTGGATGGGTGGGATAAATGTGATCAGAAAGTTGTTCTGAGAGAGGGGAAAATAAATGCTTGCGTGGAAGGTTGAGCTGAAGATGAGGGAGGGGGAGAGTGAGGTGGTGTGGTTAATGTATGTAAAGGGTGGGGATTGTGTGATGGGATGGGGTGGATTGGTGAAGTGGAGTGGGAGAGGTGCAGGAATACGGTTCATAGAATGGGGTTGTCGCAATAAGGAAGAGGAGCAGGTAAAGGGAAAGGAAGGAGAGGGGAAAGGAAGGAAAGGGGAAACGAAAATGGAAGGGGAAAAAAAGATAGAAAAGGAAGGAGAGTTGGGGAAGAGGAAAGTATGAAAATGAAGAGGAAGTTTGAAGTAATAGGTATTGTATAATGTTATTTGATAATATATGTGAAGATGTGGTGATTAAGGAGAGCGATGAGACGGGGAGGGGTAGAAAAATGACAGAGACAGAGACAATTCATGGAGAATGTGATGAAAAGGGATTATTGAGGAGGGAGAAGCTAATGGTGAGAAGCTGGGGAGGAAGAAGAGGAGAAGATGAACAGGGGTTTGTAAAGAGGATTTGTGCAATGATCAGATAAATAATCGAGCAATATTCAATGCCTTTTTAAGTTGCATACATCTCATGCGAAAATGTGTTGAGGCAGCTTTTGTTTCATTCTCCAATTCTTTTGGGATTTCCAACTTTGCGCCTGAACCAGGTCTGTGGGATTTCTGCAATTGCTTGCTGAAGGATTCGGTTTGACTTCTCTGGAATGTGGTTGTGATAAGAAACTAATACCAACAGTTGGAATCTTTAGTGTCGTTTAAGGGTTACTTTGGTCCCGGTGGTTCGGTTTGTGACGAGGATCATGAAAGGCTTGGTATTGGTATCCATTGTGCTCGTATGTAAGCGAATCTTCACAAAGTATTGCATTGCATCTAACCTACTACACGTCCGTCCCATGATCGAAGCGTTTTCCCGACTTTAGGATAACAATATTGCACCCATTGATGTTACGGTGCGCCTTGGTCGCCGTTCATATTGTACCTCTACCCTTGGCTAACGCTTGAGACTGATTTCATGAATCATGACCCGGGGTTGACTGGGCGAAAATAAATCTTGAACCGGATAAAGGCAATATAATGAAGGTCAAGAACTGATATTCCGCCTTACTACTGTACTTGGTGTATCAGAAGACTACCTGACTACGCCGCATGATAACTCCACTTGAAGCATATCACGTTTCTATTGTGGAGCGATAAGATGGTATGAAGGAATTGCAGGTACGGTAAAAACGTATATCACATTGCCAATACAACTAAGCCTCGTTTTCATAGGCAGACATATATATGATGTAAGTGATGTAAGAGCACATAAATCCCAACTAAAGACTCGACAGTAAGTGTGATCGAAGGAGGCGCAGACAGGAGAATGAGAAACGGGTAAGCCATTTCGTACGTAGCCCACATCACAGATACAGACCAACAAAGTGCGACTCGACCACACCTAGTTTTTAACTTCCTGAGTTGCGGACTTTCTGAGTATAGTGGTTTGGTACACGTGCTGGTTTACCCGGATTGCGGACTTTCTGGCGGCATGAGTAGCAGCAGCAGCAATAGCAAAGCAAAACGGTTTTGTGATCCGTGTACTCAGTACACTGATATATATATACGCTAATATGTGATAGGCCTTATAATGAATACGTACCTACTCATGCCGCCAGAAGTCCGCAACTCGGGAAGTTAAAAACTAGACTATTCCTGTTGTAGTTTACCACCGTATGGTACAGAGTACCTTTTTTCAAACAGACGATAACTCGTATCCACATTGAGCCGCTTCAGGTACTAGGATGGAAGGATTCTCCACTAGTAAACCACGTTTTTGGCCTGTAGATTCACCGGGGAAGAATGGCTTCGGGACGCGACGGTTCCTAATCGAGACATAGGTTGATATCTTTAAGTTTAATAATGTATTGAGGTGCTAGGGTTAAAATTTAATCAACTCGGTGCAAAGGGAAAAGGGAAAAGGGGAAAGGGGAAAGGGAAAAGGGAAAAGGGGTTGAGTCAAGTCAAGTACTTGTTGTTGTTGAAATGTAAGATTATTAATACTGTAACAAGAAAACCATGACCCGATTCAAATCACATGATTTGGAAACAAAAATAGATCACCTTTGTTGCCGCCTATCCTTATATCTCATACATCCATCAAAACCACAAAACAACGGCGTGGCAAGATTAAACGTACAAGTATCAATTTCTTACCGACATTATACCTAGGTGCTGACTGTGCGGAAACAATGTTTTGTCGGGAATCCCTCTGGGCGGGTAGGGCTATGTTCCGCCACCAAACGGAGAAATGATCGAAACGGTTAGGATCTTCCGTTATGTAGGCAATTTACTTACCATGGACTTGGGCTCACCCTTTTTCTTCTGCAAAGTATATACTGTACTGTATTGGGGCACAGCAAACCTCGAATTTCACGTAAGCTGACTACTCTCCACTATGATGACTGACTACCTAGGTATTATCATGACTTATTCGTATACAGAATGGGTTGAGTTGATACAACGATAAGCATTAACATCTTATCGATGATCATATTTCGCTCACAGTTGATCGTACCCGGTATGTCTCGTATATCGCTCAATGTCCTAAAGTGTATCTACATAGGATGAAAATGTGCCGCTATTAACGTGCACCAGCGGCACCAGCGGCGAACATCACCCCGACCTGCCACAATTGCACACACCAAAGGACGCCAAAGTTCCTAAAGTGGTGACAATGAGGTTCATCACATCGTTAGCTGCAGGTTTCAAGCCACTCGCTCAACCTCACTGATTCCTTTCCGAGATATGGTGCTGGGTTCACTGGCAGCATTAATCTATCACCTCATATATGGGAAGACGTATGGGGAAAGAGAAGGTGAAAAGCTTTGGTGTTTCGTAATGATCCTCGAACACATTTCCTGGTTGCGAAGAATACCTACGGGAGCGACGGCAGCATTAGAGGCTGATTTTCCTAATCACTTCTTGTCCTGCATTAGCCAATCTCGATAATCACGTCGTCTTACTGTCTGATCTTATGCTTACCTCCGCGGCTGATTGAAAATATTCTCATAATTTTAACTTCGATTTTTAAGTGGCCCTCATAATTCAGCCAATAACCAAGAGTTATCTGGAAATAGCTCTTGGTATGGGGGTCCTAAATTGAATAAAATTTCAGAATCCAATCTTTATAAATCGCATTTTCATTGGTCAATTTAAGAGTACTCCATCAGCGCAGCCTGATAAATGCTTGTCGTTCATACATTACCACTTTCATTTGTTCGTCGTGTACGTCCGTAATTACTGGTGTTCGGCCCAGACGAGACATGGGACCTGGTGGCTGGAATCATATCAATTTGACATTCCTTTCAGCTTGAAGTTACTCAGCCTTGGAACCCCCTAATATACTAACGAAGTCGTTTCTTCACATTGCTCACATTCTTATCTTAAATGCTGTTCATTCCCTTGATAACTACTAGGTATTGTTTCTCCCTTGTTTCAAACCTTACTTCCCAAAATTCTGCGTATTATTCTGTTACCCTCAAACATCTTGGAAATTAGCGTTATTTACATTGAAGATATAAGTCAATCATAAATATCCCTGCTGCGTGAGTGTATCGATCTTCGGCGTTCCATATTTGGTATCACAATCGAACCAATCTTTCACTTAAGACTTGGAGTATTACAAATTTCCACTGGTGTACCGACACTGGTACAGATTCAATCATGGCGACATCTGAACCCTTGAATTCGCCAAATTTGACGAATGGCAAACACCGGCTCAATGGGAGGAATTCCAATGGAAATGGGCATAAACCAAATGGTATTAATGGTAATAACTCAAGGAGCAATCAGAATGGGAATTACGACAGAGATAGCGGTGTTGGGGAACCATTTGATAGCCTCAAAGATATTAAACACAATGGCTCCAAAGATCGGAGACATCCAAACGGAGATCTTTCAACTGACGATGAGCATCGACATATCCATAAATCACACCGAATTGAATCATTTGGTGCTCACACTACGGCATCAGGAGGTCAAGCGAGGCAAAATGCCAAGATCCGTACATACACGGACGAGCTCAACAGCAGAGACTTTCCTCGGATATCAAAACCGGTAGAGGTCTTGAGGAATGTTTACGATACAGTGGTAATTGGATCTGGCTACGGTGGTTCAGTTGCTGCTAGTCGTATGGCAAGAGCCGGACAATCTGTGTGTCTGTTAGAGAGGGGGAAGGAGAAATGGCCAGGGGAATACCCCAGCGGTACTGTGGATGCGATGGAGGAGCTTCACGTGTCGGGTAATTTTGCTCCTGGATTTTTACCCGGTGCCATGGTGGAAGAAGGAGATCCCACAGGCCTCTATCATCTCATATTTGGAAAAGGTCAAAATGCTTTCGTAGCCAATGGATTAGGTGGCACGAGTCTTTTGAACGCCAATGTATATCTCGAAGCCGACAAAGACACTCTAGCCATGGATTGCTGGCCAAAGGAATTACGAGAGGAGGAAACCTTAAGACCATATTACGATCGAGCAGCATCTGTCTTACAACCTCAAAGTTACCCCGAAGACTGGCCTAAGCTTCCCAAGTTAACATTGTTGGAAAAACAGGCCAAAATTCTTGGTATGCATGAAAAGTTTTATCGCCCACCACAGACTACCCGATTCCTAGGAGGACCAAATAGCACTGGAGTCGAAATGTATCCATCCGCTTTAACAGGCATGGATTGCACTGGCGTCAATGATGGGAGCAAAAGCAGTACCTTGGTCAACTACCTCTCAGATGCTTGGAATTGGGGAGCAGAAATGTTTTGTGAATGTGAAGTGAGATATGTACAGAAGCATCCAGATCCCAATGAAGAAGGTTATCTTGTGTTCTTTGCGTGGCATGGAAGTAACCGCGGGGCTTTCAAGACCAATATTTACGAAGATCTGATGTGGGTACATGCAAAGAAGTGTGTTTTCCTTGGCGCCGGTTCGATCGGATCAACGGAAATTCTTCTCCGAAGCAGAAGCTTAGGAATGAACATGAGCGATAGAGTCGGCAAGAATATGAGTGGTAACGGTGATATGTTAGCTTTCGGCTATAATACCGATGACGACGTTAACTCGATTGGTCGTGCTTCTCCGACGGCAGATAATCCCATTGGACCTACCATCACGGGTATCATTGATAACCGAGAGGGCCATGCAAATGTTCTGGATGGATATGTCATTGAAGAAGGTGCAATTCCAAAAGCACTTGCTCCACTCTTCCAGTTCATGCTTGAGAAGCTTCCAGGTTCTGAGCCGCCATCGGATTTGTCACCGCTTGAGAAATTGAGACATACACTTTCAGCTACAGGGAGTCGTTTCTTAGGCCCATACTACAAAAAGGGCAGCATTGAAAGAACACAAACTTATCTTGTCATGAGCCATGACACCAATCAAGCCATTCTCACTCTCAAAGATGACAAACCTCTCCTTGAGTTTCTTGGTGTTGGTCGCAGCGATCATGTCAAAAAGATCAACAATGTTCTCAAGGAAGCAACAGAGGCCGTTGGTGGAACTTTCGTCAACAACCCGTTCTATTCATCACTCGGTCAGCAGGAAATCACTGTTCATCCCATCGGTGGTGCTTGTATGAGTTCAGACAATACCGCTCAGTATGGCGTCACCAATCATTTCGGTGAACTTCTCACGGGTCGTGGTAGGGAGACATACCCGGGTCTGATAGTTTCTGATGCTGCAGTTATTCCCTGTGCTTTGGGTGTCAATCCATTCGCAACTATTACTGCCCTTGCTGAACGCTCTGTCGCTCATGCTGCGAAAAATCTCAATATCAATATCGATTATGATACCAGCAATGGTTTGTTAGATTTGTTTGGGAAGCCAAAACATGCCCCAATGCAATTGCAAACTTATAGCACACAAAATAATGATGTCGATGCAGCTACCAAAATGATTGATGATACTGAAGACTCCAAGACAAGTGGGTTTGGCTTCACTGAGGTCATGGAAGGGTTCATTCATATTGGGGAGAATCTCAAGGGTGATCATAAAGAGGACTATGAAATTGCTGCCAAGACCGCTAGAGGTCTTTGTGAGGCTTCGAGGTTTTTTCTAAGCGTCAAGGCTTATGATACACATAGAAGTACGTATTTCTCAGTACTTTAAATTTATGTCCTCACTAATATTGATTCAATAGTTGTTCATCGAGCAGATCACTCAGCTATGTTGACTGGCACATTCGTTTGTGCTTCCTTACCTGGTAGTCCCTTCATGGTTCAACGTGGAGATTTCCAGCTCTTCAGCGTTGATCATCAAGCTCCTGGTACTCGAAATCTTACATATGATTTCGACATGACTTCCACAGATGGCAAGCAATTGCATTTCCATGGATACAAGATTGTTGATTCTTCGGTTGCTCTTGGCCCCTGGAAGTTTTGGACAGCTGCATCAACGCTTTACGTCACCATTACGGAGAAAGATATCAACAAGACTGTGCGTGGAAGAGGAATGATGCACATTCGACCAAAGGACTTTTTGTCCCAAATATTTACTCTCAAGGCTGTCGGTCGTAATTTCTGGTCTAGACTTCAATCTACCACAAGCTTCATGACTTTCTTCGCCAGACAGTCGGCCAATCTCTTCTTCGCTCCATTTACCTATCTTCAATACCCATCGGTGACCTACACTGGGTACATTAACGACACTCCACCCGACCAAACCATCCAGATCGTTGCCTCCGATGACGTTAAAACTCTCCTCCACGTCTGGGAACCTCAAAACCCCAACATCGCCACCAAAAATCTCTTCTTCATCCCCGGTGCATCAGTCGACCATCAAATCTTTGCACTACCCACCATAGAAGTCAACGCCATCAACTACTTCACCCGTGCCGGCTACCGCTGTTTCGTCACCGTCCATCGCATCTGCCAACTCATGGTCGCAGAAGATAACTGGACCACTTTTGATGCTCGTCTCGATATCAAAGCCTCGCTCCAATGGATCCGCAAAGAGCATGGTCATCATCCTATCTATACCATTGCTCATTGCATGGGTTCCGTGGCATTTTCTTCCGGTCTCCTCGATGGTACTATTCCCGCAAATTGGATCTTGGGCGTAACGTGCTCGCAAGTTTTCATGAATCCCATGTGGGCAACTCTGAATCTGGTAAAGGCCCTTGCGGGCCCGATACCGTTTGATAAGTTGTATAAGATGTTTGGGGGTAATTGGTTTAGTTGCTCGAGTACGAGGGAGGATACATATTTTCAACAGTTGGTCAATCAATTGTTGAGGTTTTATCCGGATGCTAGGTGCGAGATGTGTAATAATATTTCTTGTCATCGATGTTCGTTGATTTTTGGACGGTAAGCTTTCCCATCAAATTGAGAATAGAGTAATGCTAATAAAAATCAGACTCTGGAATCACAATAACCTAAACGAAGCTACCCATCGCCAAACCAATCGTTTCTTTTCCGGCGTCAACATGACCTGTCTCCACCTACTCATGCGTATGGGTACCATCGGCCACGTTACCGGCAACGCACCATTATTCCACCCCCTTACATCCCCCAAGAACATCCGTCGTCTCAAAGGCATACCATTTTTCCTCTTCTCGGGTTCAGATAACCATGTACTGACACCGGAGAGTACAACGAGGACGCTGGAGATGTTGAGAGATGAAAATGGGGGTGGCAGTGAAATGTATGAGAGGACGGAGATTAGGGGGTATGGACATCTGGATTGTTGGATGGGGAGGGAGGCGTATAAGGATGTTTTTCCCGAGGTGAGGGAGAGGATTGATAGGGTTACGAGGGGGAGGGAGTATAGGTTTGTGGAGGAGGTGGGGAGGGATGGGGAGGGGAAGAAGGGGAGGTAGAGCAGAGTTGAAGTTATGATCATGATTAAAGGAGATGATTATAGATGGGAATGGAAAATAGAAGAGGATATTGTTGTAGTATTAGTATTAGTATTAGAAACGGACTTGGGGATAGGGGGAAACAGGATGGATGGGGAGTTTTGGATATGATATGATATGATATGATGTATAGGTCCTATATTGGTTTGGTCCGGTTTGGTTTGGGTTGGTTGGGTTGGGTTGGGTTTGGTTGGTAGGATACATACCAATAGGCTTTAGGAAAGTTATTTTTTTCTATTTTGACGATAAATCTTTTAGTCTCGGTTTCGATCTTACTAGTTAGTATCTTATCTCAGTACTTGGCTCGGTATTCTGTATATCATGATGTGAGATTTACGAGTATAAATACGAAATTACTCGAGTATGACAAGGGAGATAACTCGAGCATATGTTTTGTTAATTACTCAGTACTTCTTACAAATATTAAATACTCTGTTTTATGGTTTTAAATGCGTATTAAATTTGACTTTGAATTTGATGCGTTATTTTATTTTGCGGTTTGTGATTTTCGTTTGGGGGTGGGGCTGGAACTGGAATTGGAACTGGAATTGGAACTGGAAATCGTGATGTATTTACTATTCTTGGTTATATGATGACGGGATTCTGGATCGGGGTTATGATACTTGTTATTTTTTATGTTTGTTATATGTTTGGAATTGGGGTTGAGATTTGGATTGGGATTGGGATTGGATTTGGGATTAAGCGATGAATAGGAGGGAGGAGGGAGGGGGGAGGGGGGTATTGTTATGTTTATTGATCATCCGGTGTTGAATTGGTTATAAGGTTCTTATAAGTATTAAGAGTAATGAATGATGAATGATGTGTGATGTGTGATGTGTGATGTGTGATGTGTGATCTTGATGGTCGGCGAGATTATATGAGTATGAGTATGAGTGGTGTTGGAAAATGCTCTATAAACTTTTTGTTAAATGGTAGATGGAATTAGATTGGATTGGATTATTCTGGTAGTATACTCAAGTTGGTGGTATAGGTATAGGTAATATTGCCAGTGAAGTGCATGTACTCTTAGGTTATTGGTACTTTTGCCTGCTACATGTACTCGAAAAATGTGATGTATTGTAATGTGATATGATATGATATGATGCATTCGATATAAAGTGAAAGATTGATGAGTGTGGTTTTTTGAATTTTTTAGCTGAGAGTAAAGTAAAGTAGAGTTGTAGAATTGTAGAGTTATTCACTGCGTTTCGCGGGTTTATAATGGAGTAAAAGAAATGGATCAAGGCGTGGGTGTTTATTTAAACAGGTTCTTCCTGAATTGTGTACAAGTACTCGTGTATACAAATGAGTAGTAGACTAAGGAAGGGGCAAATCTAGGTTGTAGAATGACAAGATAAAGATTTTTCGCGGATTTTCTAGCGTTTTGTTGATAGGTTGGATTTTGGGGGGGTTGGAGGGTGTTGAGATATCTGTTTTATAGTAAATGATATACTTGAGTAGTATCACAGTAGATATGGCGATGAGAATAATACGTAGATATCTCATGAAAAGGATTGAGTGATTTGTAATGATATATCAATGATAATACAAATGTGAATGAGTACATTGAAGTCTAACGAAAACATGATTTCGCATGGTGATAATTATCTACAAATGGCAACATAAATGTGTGAAATAATAATTACTAATTAGAAATTATCATGGCTTTTGTTTTTGTAAGCTTGGATTCTCTCTTATATATCATATCCTTCAATACTCGAGTAGTATCTTGATATATATGACTTGATACTTTGATATTCGATCTATGAACTAGCACACATATCCAGGACTTGATAAACCATCAAGCGTTAGTTTTTCTTCTTCTTGGTATTTGGAGTTACACCTGAAGTGGGTTGAATTAATTGAATATTAATAACAGACGATTATTTGCCGAAAAAAGGGGTGAAAGATTGGAAGCGAACTGAATCCGTCAAGTCAAGGAGAAGTACTGTAAGAAGTATTTACCTCAAACAGCCAGTGGTGATCGGCTCGGTTTAAATAGTAGAAGTACGTATATATTCAGCTCGGACTCGGTCCTAAATATTTAGACACAAAAAGTGCTAATCTATAATAGGCCTAGGGGACACGCTAATTTCCTTTTGACGCCTCTGCAATGGTCTTCAGTTTCGAGGTAGGCTTTGAGAAAAAAAGATCTTTTCCAGATGTCACGAGTAAGTGGCCTTAGGTATGACTAGTTGTGATATGACAGTGGTATTTCTGCAGAATCTAGGAGAATACTCAAGCGCCGGTAGAAATTCACGAATTATATTAAGAACGACTATCAGGCCTATCATGATCTAGATGACCCATTTATAGTCTCGCTTCGGGCGCTAGACTAACTGGTTTAGTAGCATCATGTAGTATTATGATATAGCTTCTGATGAGCTCTCAACTCAATAGAACTCTTCGGACCTTTCTGAAATTACCTTTTGATTTTATATAGTTATGAAATTAGCTATGGTGACTCGAAAAAAGGAGTGTTCTCCATGATCACTACTTCGATAGCTTTCAATTACTCTTACTACCATGATCATTACTTCCTCTTCCCAATCGCACCCGTTTGACTTTAAGTTCTAGGTTACCTTCCCAAAACCTTGATCCTATCGTCAAAACAGAGCTTCTCAATTGGTTCTTGTAGGGTTAATTAAGGATTCCTTTAGTTTTTTGGGAATCTGAAAAAGCTTATGTGAGATTAAATGCAAAAGGTCTTCAAAGAACTTCCTGTCGCACCCGCTTGAAGGCTCCTGGTAAACTAGAAAACCTTGAATCGAATTTACAGCTTCCAGAGTGTGGTTTGTTCAGGAGAGTCCGTCATTTTACAGATTCCGATATATTTCTCAAGACTAAACACTTCCCTTCAAATTGCGGCTAAAGCTATTGATGCACAGTCGACTCTTACCGACACTGATGTCCAGTCATATAATAGATCATCTCTCTATCATTATATTGAAATTCGGGCCTAATCCCCTTCAGATCATATGTATATAATCAGTCCTTCAAACCCCTCTAAATGGCCCTTCACTTGTAGATTCTGAGTACACACACAGTTGAAGTCCTTTGCAGCCGCTCTCGGACACCTCAGCATTGTTCAACAATGTCTTGGTAGTCGTTCTGGTCTAGAGAGGCCCAATCCTGCCGATTAGCACTTCCTGCTATCTACCAGCGCTATATAAACGACATCTTTTCTGATTATTTGTATGTCATTTACACAAGAGCAAAGCCAAGGATGGTCGAAAGTTATTCTTCGATGACTAATTGGATACTACACTGCCATCGGCTCCTCCAAAGAAAGTTGTCAAAGCTCACAGTATCACTACGTAATGCTACACTCAAATCGACATGATATCTGATCAAGACGAAGATCGAAACAGACTACCCAAGATTTCAACTTCTCTCAACGACTTTGGCCCAATATTCGCTAGCGACTGTTCTTGATTCCGGATTCACTACACACCCCTTTAATGAACACAAATATGGATACGGCAATATTCTAGTCATCATTGGCCGACTTGCAAGACAAATAATAAGTTGAACTGAGAGACACATAGAGCATTACATCTCTTCATTCTTCATTACAAAATTATCACATCTAATTTCCCCTTATATCCCAATCGCATTCGACTCGCACCCGCTGCAACCTGTCGATCATCCCACAAGAAATATTCAGGTCGACCCTTCAAGACAGGCTTAGACAGAGAGGATGGCAAGTTTGTCAACCTCGATCAAAAAGAGGCCAAATGGAGATACAAATGACAACCTATAAGCTATAATAGAAGGAGTTCATGTGTCATTCTCACAGAGCTATTCATTAGAGACTCAACATTTTGTAAAATACTGGCTGAAAGTGCCAGTCACTGGTCTTCAATGCATCTCCAGCGATCTTCTTGCAAGACAGCAATGACTACCACAAGTCTACCACAAGTTCCAATGTCTCACAGATCAAGCGAGATCCCTTTGTATTAATATATAGCATCTCATTAGATATTACTTCTACTCGAGTTTACTCGAGTAGTAGATCCTTGGTAGGCCCTTGGACTAAAATTAGTGTACTCACACGCTTCCCGTTGTATATTCTTTCGCATGTATTCTCGTCAAGTTCGAGCGTTTTGGCCTATCTGATATAACTTACTCGTACAACTTAGAACTTAGGAGACTTAAAGCTAATTTTGGACGTATGTCACGGTCCAAGGTTTAGTGATTATGAGATATCCCAAGATCTGCAAATCATTAATTATCTAATCCCCATTCATTTTCTCTTTCCCTACGATATTAGAGTTAGGATATATTCTTACCAAGACCGCGTTAGTTATAGTATAGCAAGTGATCACATTATATCACATCACATAGCTACTCCACTAAATCAGTGATCACTGATCGGTGTAGTAAGTAGTCAGTTATTTATTGATCTAACGATACATACTCAAGTATATTAACCAGATATATATCACCAAAAATACCAAGCTATCTCGATAAAGACATTCGGCTATTAATCTCGACTGATCTGAGTACATACTCGTACTCGTATTTACTTTATCCATAACCCATAACCCATAATCCATACACTGTTTCTTGGATCTAAATATTGTACGAGTACGCATATACGGGTAGCAGTGAACAAAATAAATTGACTTCTCCTCTAGATATAAATCAAACCATAAATAGACAGCGCCAACCACAATGGCATCTGTACGCATGCCTTCCAAAATCATCTTGTAATATTCGATGATACTGTAGTCAGTTTTTAGATTGTGAGGTATCACAACTGAAGACCTTATACTCGAGTAAACTGGAAATGATCAGATATATGTATTCACTCGCAAATATATATCTTATCTTCAAAAACAAGCGAGACTACTAGTAACGCCTTGCATGCCGTTATCAAAATTATACATCATATTATTCATTAAATCTCCGCTTCTACTCAAGTAAAAAACCCTACGCTAAAAGACCAAATAAAAGACTAGTTCTCTTCCAATACTCCTTAGCCCCATTAGAAACACGTTTTCTCGCCTCCACCTCAAGTTCTAGCCGAGCCTCTACTTTATCCCCTAGCTCTTTTAGCCTATTCTCCCTATTCTCCGTATTGTCTGGTTGATATTGTAGAACTTGTTGTAAGACGAAGATATCAAAGAGTGATTGTTTGAGTAGATCCAATTGTATCTCTTCATCGACTTCCACAACAGGGGCAGGAACCTCTACCTCCTCTTCTTCAATTTCCGTTGACCCCGTTTTCGGAACATCACTCGCAGAAGCAGCCGTGCCATTACTGACATATTTTTCATTTTCTTTCTCTTTCTCTTTCTCATTCTCTTCCAACACAATACTCCATTGCGCCCCGATTTGGGAGCACAGATGTCCTTTCAACACTTTAACAGCAACAGGACTCCACAGATCTGCCCCAGCATCAGCCATAGCAGACGAGAGACCGCGAAGAAATCTAAAAGTAGCCGGCGAGGGCTGAACTGGAAGTTCGGGGATTCCTTCCCATAAAGCTCGGCCAGCAACTTTCTTCTTTCGGAGCGATTTTGCAAGGGCCGAAATTGGATTTTCCGAAATGGTGCTTGCGAGATTCTCGTGTAGTGATGGTACTAGCGAAAGACCAAATTTTTGTAGCGACGGATTAGGGGGTAGCTCTGTCCGGATATCTCGTGATATCCGTAGAATGTACATGGACATTTTACCGCTATACGCGCTATCTTGATATTGTTCCACGAGTGTCGTGGTTTTCGTATCCAATTCCTGGAAAGCTTTCTCTAAGCTTGATTTAAGACGATCCTGTAGCATCTGTGGATCTTCTTTACTCAAAAGATTTTGCCGTGATTCAAGACTTTCATCATCTTCGATATTTTCCAGGTCATCATCCCATCTTTGTTTCTTCAAATGATCGATAACAGTACCTATATCCTCAATAAGACGCCTCCAGGTTTGAAAGCTATTTACGACTCTCGAAACAGCATCGTTGCGTCCGAATGTGCGAGCAAGAATATCTTGTTTGAAAAGATTACCTCCGTTGCTGATCTCTGTTGCCATCATATCTTCATCCCATAGGCTAGCATGGAGGTTGGTGATTCCTTCTTCCCATGTTGCCAATGTGGATTCTATTTCCGTTCCCACTAGATGGAGTTGACCAACTCTAGTTTCTAATAACTCTACGAGTCGTTTGTTGACAACGCCTCGCAAGCCATCCAGAAGTATAGAAGGATCAAAACCTCTTGCCTTGCCTCCATCCCTGATCCACACCTCCAAAATCTTCGATCGTAGTTCTACTACCACTTTAAAGTCCAAGCTCTCCTGAAGAGTATTTGTAAAACCTGCCAAAAGTACCTCCGAGGCTTTCTTCGCCCAACCTTTTAGTGTTTCAACAGCCAATGATCCTTCCAAGTCATCATGTCTAACATAGGGTGTAAAGTAAAGAATTTCGTCACCAAACCACCGCTCACATACATCTAATCTTAACCCCTCTAGCTCTCGAATACTGTCATCTTTCAATAAAGGTTTCGTTTTCAACGCAGCCAATGCCTCGCTAAGCCTTCTGGGTACTAGCGCTTGCACATCTAGTAGGGTTCTCGTATATATGTCCAAGGCTCGTAAGACACCTGAAGTCTGGTGGTCTGACTCCCCTTCGTCTTCGAATGCTAGGGCCATTGCCTCTCCTCGGACATTGAGGAAATGTCTCAAAACGTCTTTCGACCCAGAACTCGTAGCCAGACTGTATGCGCAGAGCGCTTGTACCAAGCCTTCTCTGTTTTCGATATCCTTAGTCGAGACCAATGTCTTTTCAACCGCTCGTAATAGTCGTTTTGTCAAAACCGCCCTCTTCTTCTTCGCTTCTTCCACGAATTCTTTATCCCCAGTAATTTCCAAACTCTTTGCCAACAACCGACTTAAAACTAGCACTTTTGCAGCGACAACCAGGCCCTTTCCCCTTCCACTGTCCCCATCTGTTTTGCCTGGCCTCCTCAAAAGCTTCCCAACCACAATACCACACATGCCCAACACCTTCATCCTTGCCACAACTCTCATCTCCTCGCCCTTCTTTCCATTCTTCGTTTCACCCTGCAATTTCCTCAATCCCCCAACCATTCCCACCAACACACCTCTCCCACATCCTTCCCCAACCTTCCCCAATTTCTCTTCAACTCCACTGATGTCTTTCCTCATCTGTAAGATTTGTTCGGCAGTTCCTAGTAATTGCCTATAACTACCTCCGACCAGTGTTCGCAGACGTGCATTTTTCTCGTCAAGCTCGGTCGTGAGATCTCGGTGGAATTGGCGGATTTGAGGAAGGGGGTGTTTGAATGCTTCTTCGGATGTGAAGCATGTTGTGGTGGAGAGGGGGGTAGCTGCCATTTTGGCAGTAGAAATCGTTATGATTTGTGGGTATTCGTATATTGATAAACAACAGATTATTGGGAATTAAAGGATCGAAAGTTTTCATTGTATCATCATCTGAAGTTCTAGACTTCACAAGTTATTGTATTCGTTAAGGCTGAGATTGAAGCTCTGGGTTCTGCACACTTGTTCTCGCCATGAAGTCCGTGCACTAGCCTTCCTGCAAGGCTGACAGGTGAAGCCTTACCTTCTCATATGTCTTTTTCCATCATCATCATCAACATCAATATTCAACCTTCAATCACGCACCATAATGATACTCACACGCAAACCAAATTTCACATAGTATAAAACTCCTCAAGACTTAGAAAAAACGAATTTAAATCATCCAACCAGCTCAGAACCATGAACATACCCACCCTCAACCCCCAACACACGCACCTCGTCGCTCTAACCCAACTCCTCCACCTCACGCACCACCGCAACAAAAACCAACATCGCCTCTCAAAATGGTACATATCATTTGGAATTCTGCGTCGACAAGTTGCGCGTCTCTTATCCGTCGTTCCTGAATTTGTGATTGCTTCGCAATCACGTGGGAAAGTGAAGGGGAAAGCTAGAGAGAAACGGGACCGGGAAGAGAGGGTAGTGCAGGATTTGGTTAGGTTGATTGGGGAGAGGGTGGTGCCAGGCTGTTATTTGTGAGTTATGTTTGTTACCATGGCTTTGATTGATTCATTGGTGATGGGAAATTTGCTAATGGATGGGTAAATAGGGCGTTTAGTCAACTGGTGGCGGATAATCAGTATGCTACTTTGGGATTGATGTTGATGGGATGTTTGGCGCGGTTGTATAAAATACTCGGGCCTTTGAGAGTGTTGACAGCAGAGGAAATTGCAGAGAAAGTTGGAGCAGTAAAAGAGAGAACGAAAGTAAATGAGCCAGAGATCGGAGAGGATCTGGGCGAGAAGATCGTGAGAGATGCTCCAACCTCAATAGTGACTGAAGATAATCAAAAGGGGCAAAAGAAAGAGGAAGATGACAAGGGGCTTAAAGACTCAAAGCCAAAGAAGAGGAAACAGGAAGCTGAAGAATTGGAGCGAAAGACTTCCAAGTTGCCTTTATCGGACTCGACGCTAGCGAAACCACCAAAGAAAAAGAAGAAAAAGAAGGGCGGAGATGCATTTGATGATTTGTTCGATAGTTTGATGTAGATTTAGAAAAGAATGGTGAATTTGATACCCCTATAAAGCAATCGTGCAAGCGAGCCCAGCATTTGTCACCGGTGAGCACTTTGAGATTTCAGTGCGAGATATTTTTGTACCACGTTTCAATAGCGGCAGTGGTTCGGATACGCCATAGACCTAATAACCTCTTAATTTCTGGGCTAAGAAATTGCCCTATATCTAAAATTACAATCTACTTCAATTTTCCCTATACCCTTCCACAAACAAACGAAACCTCATCGCATCCCACTCTCCCTCTTCTACACCCTCTCTTCCCAAGCTAAGCCTCCCCAATAACATATCCCCCTACCCAAGCACCCTCCCCAACCACCACAGCCCCCCACCAACCAGCACATTCCCAGCCAAATGCATTCCCGCACTCCAAGCCATTGTATACAAAAACTTAGGGCTAAAAACCGTCCAAATGAAAAGATGAGTTCTCAAAACCGTACACGCCACCATTGTTGCCGTCAGACCCATCGCTACAAATACCGTGAGTAGCGCTATATGGTTTCCCCAGATCATTTTTCTCTTCAGACTATCCTTTTTCCAGTACTTTAGGAGTAAGAGATTACCAGCGGAGGTAAAATATAGAGGACCGGCCCAGTTCGAGATCAACACCAAGAGACCCACTGCAACGATGTTGTAGGAATCAACGCCGTTGTAAGCGGATGAGAGATCGATTGAGGAGATGGCATTTGAGTTTCCAAGGGTGAAGAAGGAGGTTTGTTGGAGTAGAAGGGTGGTAGTTGTTATTTCTATGAGAGAGAGATTGAGGATTGAGAGGAGAGAAAATTGGAGTTCGAAAATTAGGATGAGCGGGATATTTGTCGCGCGAGTTTGTGTGATTAGGAAGAGGACTAGGAGATCGTGGATTGTGCGCATGGGGACTTCGATTTTGTTAGCTGTGAGGGAACTTGAAGAGAGTAGTGAAGGAGAAGGATTACCATTTGGGCGTTTGGTTGGTGGACCGAAACAAGATAATATGGTATATAATAGACACGATGCAATACCGATAAACACCATTCGTGCTCGGAGAACAAGTGGAATACCAGTATCGCTATCTGCTATAATCTTTGCTAGGCCCGCCAAAAGTTCAGGTGAATCTTCATTAGTAAACGCAAGTTTGAAAGTAATTGCTGCGGTGGCCAAAAGAGTTGCAATCAGACTAGCAACTACTTGAGGAAAGCGTGCGAATCCTTTCCTGGAAAGAGATTGAAGATTCCAGAAATAAGTAGCTCCTACAAGTGTCCAGAGAGTTAAGCGGTGCTGAGAGAAAAATGTTCGAGCAATATCAGGATCGCCAGCAAATTTCTGGCCTGTTTGATTCCAGCGTCTACCAATTCTTGTAGCGACTAGAATCAATATGGAGCTAATGGTAAGCAACCAAAGTGGATGGGATTGACGTCGTATACTGGAAAGTTGTTAGACTTGACTTAAGGCTTTAGAGAAGTCATACTTTTTGATTGATAGGAGAAATAGCCATCCCGTAGTTGTCCAATACCAGAAATGTTGTTCTTCTTCAACATAACTACTAGCAAACATCATAATGCCATAGGACAAGCAAATAGCTATAAATGGAATACCAGCCTTAAAATGGTTTACTATGAATGGCCTGGCGGCCACTGCTACCATGACTAGAGCCAGAGCAGCAACAACTTGACCAGTAATCAATTTTTTGACATCATAATTACTAGCTGTACCACTCATTAACTCTTGAGCTTCCTTCAACCACTAGAATTTTGTTAAATGTTGAACCATAGGTTTGAAGGAAGACCTACTTTTGTGACGGCTATAACCCATGCACCATAATCTTGCTCATCAGTTTTCAGACCCACCAGGCCTTGCGTGATGCTTCTCCATTGACATGCTAAGTCATCAACGCTACTTGATAGTTCGTGGCAATCTTTGGAAGGACCACCGTTTTCAAAAGATGGAAATGTTGCAGTGATAACACTTAGGATCTGTCTCGCATTCCGCAGTAAGATCTGAACGCGATCGTTTCCTAGTAGCTATCAGTGACGGGAGCTTGATCGGGTACTGAAATAACATACTTTCGGGCCAAAAAGGTAAGAAGTCATCAATGACGGCTCCCAAGTTATTTTTGGGCACAGGAAATCCAAGAAGAGCTCCAAGTGTAGGAGCAATATCGGACTGTTCAACAGTCTTGTAGTACTGGAATTCTTCTTCAAACGGAGCGGGGACTTCAAAACGTTGACCCTCACGTTCAAGATCCTTGAATTTTGGGGACATGAAGACGAGAGCTGGTGAAGTTTCTCCAGGAGCAGAGCCACCATGATTACCAGCATCGTTCATACCATGGTCACCACACAGAATTAGGAGGGTCGAGCTTAGGTAGTCTTTCGTTTCCATGTTTTCATAGATCAACTGGACGATACCATCCATTTCTTGCTGTTTGGGAATCATATTCGGGCTAGTGAAGAAATTAGTCCCCCTTTGAATACTTGTCGACAGATTACACCTACCTCCGTGGACCTGCTTTATGTCCAATATGATCGAGTCCAAGATAGTGAAGAACCATGGTATTCCAGTCATCCATCATCAGCTCTTCCGGAACATGTCTCGTCACATTTCTATCCACTTCAGTAAAATCCTAATAAAAATTGATATTCAGCTACATTCATTCTATATACAGCCCGAACCACTCGACGACTGACCGAAACGAAAAAGCTTGAAGTCCCATCTGTCCTATCAAAAGTTTCCGGAAATAGCTTCAACCAAGTGTCATCTCCATACATGATCATCTTTCCCCCTCCTTTTGCTTTCATTTGTGCCAGCCATGTATCTTGGTTCGCCAAAGACGAAGATGTATCGGATTCGGCGAAGTTGAGAATCACGTCGAGGAAAGAAGGTATAGAGCCAGTTGTTATAGCTTTTATTCGTGGCATAGTAATGGTAGGGGAGGTCGCATGAGCTGTGAATGGAAGTGCTGCGCCATTGGAAATGAGACTTTGCAAAGAGTTAGTATAGTAAAAACAAGGTGGTAGATATGCAATTGACCTTTGAGTAAACTGGAATCCTGAATTTCTTGAGAATACAAAGTCGCTGTCAAGGTTAGCTTTCATCTCAAACTTTACTGTAAGGCCCCCTCTACCTTCTCAGCGCATCGACAACCATAAAGATGACCTTATCGAATGGAGCTTCAGGAGGAGCTCCATAATCCAGAGACTCATACTGTGCCAGTCCAGAAAGAAATGGCTTATAAGGAAAGAAGCCACTAGCAAATATCAATATAGCAATTGGAATGAGAATATTTGCTCCCACAAGCAAAGAGTTTCGTATCCTAGGATGCGAGGACATTTTGCGTCTTTTAGTCTTTACCCATTGATTACTTGCTTGAAATCAATGGTATGTTAGCTTGAAAATATGACAATCAGGTAGCTCGAGTCAATCTTTGCCATTTGTATTCGTCTAAAGAATATGATATTTCAGGAGGTTCGTATAGAGAGAAGCTATGTGTCAGGTTGGCGACCGCGTTTTGGCGTCCTGGATAAGAAATCCTTATCGGTCAACTACAATGCATATTTGAGGGGAAGGGTCTTTATCAATCGAGGTCGGCAGGAAAGGTTGAAACTCTCAAATTCTTAGTATATTTTCATATCTTGAAGTCCTTCGACGAACTACTCCTTCATTTTTGTGTCCCAGAAGGTGTAACATATCCCTCACCATGAACTCCATGCCCCGATCCAGATAGTCCGATGCGCCTATAAATTACTATTTATTCTCGACCTTTACCATTTCATTCTCTCTCAATAGATCTTTTGCGATCCACCTCCTCCTACTTTCTTTCCCTTCTTGTATGTAACGAATGTCATGGATGATTTGCGACTGTTAACTTTTCTCTTCGAGATACGATTCTTTGACATTGAGCCAACCTTGCTAATAGCATCTACCTCCATTTCTGCGTGTCCACATGTCAGTTCAAGATTCGAGTAGGCGGAAGATTTGGAACTCCTAAAATACCTTCGGATGGCTTTTCTTGGGGAGGGGAAACGGCTTTGCTCGAAGTATCTTTCGCGGATGCTGGATAGAATATTAGAGAACAATTCACTTCAAAAGAAGAATCCATTCCATACCCTCTTCAACGTCTTCTCCGTCTTTGACGTCCATTTCTACATCTTCGCTCTTCGCTGATGGCTTTGGTTGTGCGATCAATTCCAGAAGTTTCGCATGCATCCTCTCTGCTCGTGCAGTCTCGACTGGACCAAAGACCTTCTTCTTTAAGGCGACATTATTCGCCTTGATAGAACTTGAGCGCGATCCCTTAGCCATTGTTGGAATTGATAGTAAGGAGTGAAGGATGGATAAGAAGATGAGTTGTAGAAAGTTGTAGTAAATGGTAGAAAATTGATGTAAACTTTTTGAAAATGGGCAATCTCAATGTACGAGTTATCTTAGCGGCAAACCAAAAATAAAAATAATCGGCCAAACTGCATTGTTCACCGCCTACCTCATTCGATTTCATGAACTTCATAGCGAACTCGGGGATTAGGAACAAATTCACATTTTATTCATTCAACTACGAAGAGATCTAGAGACCAAGAAGCAAAGAGTGTAGGGAAAACAAAGGCCATCTTGTTCCTGTCGACACTATCGTAAGGAATATCTGATCATACTTTTGACTCTTTACACTTTTCATCAGTTTACCATTCATTACAAGACTTTCCAATTTTGAAGTTGATTGAATAACTTAACTTGTTCATCCACATTCAAGAATAGGAAATGGCCTCGATGGGGGGCGGTGATTTCCTCGATCCAGAACCATTTGTACGAAAGGTGAAGAATGGTGGAATGCTCAACCTAACACTGAAGCACATATGCGCTGCTGAGGCTATGAAAATACACGGTGTCAAGGCAGAGCTACAGTCAAGAATTGCCGAGAGTAGGTTGTTTGCATCGTCGTCTCAGAGAAATCGATAATCGCGCATTTGCGCAGTCTCAATACGATGGGTTGCAATAAGAAGGTCCAAAGCTGATATTTCATTTCTGAACAGGAATTAGATTTTATGCGGATAAACAGGACGAGGCTAAATTTAACCGTTTGAGAGCAATCATAGAACATCCAGAGACAGTTCAGTACCCACAAGTATATCATAGTTCGGCTTCACCGGCTGCGAATTCGACACCCAACGGCGCACCGAGTCGCAGTACACCTGGAGCAGCCATGCAATCATATAACAGGCCGAATGGGTATGGAATGAGTATGTGAGCCCTTGGTGATAAGATTATGCGCCCGATCTAATTGTTCTAGATCTTGAATTCAAGCCAAGTCCATTCTACAATATCGTCGAACAAATTGGAGAGATCAAAACCTGTGATGGTATGTATTTCGTCTGGAGGTTAATAAATGTCATGTTAATCGATATTGACTAGCCATGACGCAACATCGTCACACGGTGAACATTCCAGTTAAAGTTCAAACCCATCCTACGTTATCAAGTGTCGTAAACGACCCAACATTGAAGATAATGATATTTTGCGCGGGCGAAGGTAATGGGAAGCAAGATATCGCCTTCCCACATCAATCTGAGATCAAAGTGAACGGAGGGGATGTCAAGGCAAATTTACGAGGATTGAAAAACAAAGCTGGATCAACTCGACCCGTGGATATTACCAAGGAACTGAGATTGAAAGTTCCTGGATATCAAAACACTATCGAGATGACCTACGCGTTGACTACAAAGGCAGGTCTTAATGGAGCTTTCGTCGCGTCTCAGGTTAATATGCACCATTCATGATCCTACCGTGTACTTCTCTAGGATTTACAATGTGTTGTTGACTTTTGCACCCGTGTGGCCGAATGCTAACCTCAATCATAGAAATTCTACATAGTTTTGTATGTTGTCAAGACAGTTGATGTTACAGACTTGGTTAAGAAATTGGGAGTTGGCAAAAAGATTACCAAGGAATCGGTGGTCAACGATAGTAAGATGCAATCCCCTCAACGTTTTTTGTTCTGATCCTAACTTCCTAAAAGTGATCCATAAATCACGAGATGCCGATATTGTAGCCACTGCTTCAGTTTTATCGCTGAAGTGTCCATTGTCGACTTTAAGGATCGATTTACCTTGTCGATCAATATCTTGTAGGCATAATCAATGTTTTGATGCTACTTCATATCTTCAGCTACAAGAACAAGGTCCAACTTGGTTATGTCCAATATGCAACAATTCTGCCCCTTTCGAGTCGTTGGTCGTTGATGAGTACGTACAAGATAATTTCATATTCATATTCATCAACATATTGCTGACCTATCACAAGATATGTAAAGAACATATTACAAAGTACATCAAGATCCGTAGATCAAGTGACGGTCGAACCAGAGGGACAGTGGAAACTCTACAACAAACCCGACCCCACATCATCACGACCCGGTGTAGCTTCAAGTGATTTCTCCGACAATGATGACGATTTGATTGAACTTTCTCCAGGTGGAAGAAAAGCTAGTACACCAATCACCAAAACCTCAACTTCAAATGGTACTGGAACTCAAGCGCCAAGTATCCGCGACTCTTTATCCGCAGCATCATCTAATCGATCAAATCCATTTGGATCATCGGCAGGTGGTGTTAAAAGACCGATTTCGGAAGTGATTGATTTGATTAGTAGTGACGAAGAAGAAGATCCACCTGCGAGACCTCCACCGAAGAAACAATTTACCTCTGGATCAGCTAATGGTTTGAATGGTGCAGCTCCTCCTTTTAGACCGGGTTTCAGTTTTCAGAATCGCTAATCAAAAACATGGGACAAGTAGGCAGTCATTAGAGCATATCCTGAATTGGGTCATTCTTGCCCGAGAGAATTTGAGCTACGAATCGAAATGCTTCAAATATTCAATGGCTTGAATGATTTCTTTTTCGGATTCGTGCTACCTGGCTACCCATTTGGTTGTACGATATTTCTTTTCTTTTCGCGAGCAGGGTGGGGATGATACAAGATGGGCTTGGCGTTTGGGAGCTAAGATGGCACAGTCTGAATTAAAGTTTCTCCGATTTGATCCTAGCTGGGATGAATGGGACGGGTGTCAAATGACTGGCTTAATAAGCAAGGAAGGGAAATAAGGCTATCTGCCATGAAGCGAACGGAGTTTTTGTGTCATGAATGGCTCTGGAGAGATGAAGGTGAGATTATAACTTTACAGATTGCTGGTTGGCTACTTTAGTTTCTCTTTTGCAAATTATGAGATATTAGCTATAGGCTGTAAGTGGTGAGGTAAAGAAGAGTGTGTTTATCTGCATATCTTCGAGGAGGAAGGCAAGGAAATTATTACTATTGAAAATACATTTTTGGCGGATTGATTTTGTGTGGATGGATGATGGTGTTATTTGATACCGTGCAATGTTGTAAGCGTTGCTAAGTACAGAGTAAATCAGTCTCGAATTTCAATATCTAGACTTTAGTGGTAGTGCCACATAATTGTTAAAGTCAAGTGTCGTATGTACGTATGTACGTATGTTTATACATTTATCTACTCGAGTACTGAGTACAGTATAAAGTCGGGGATGGGGATGAGGATGAGGATGAGGATGGGGATCATGGGGATCATATCAATGTCACTTTTTGGGTGAGATGGATAACTGGGTGGATGGATGAAATGATTTTAATGCGATACAATGTCATATCCCCAAATATAGTCTAGACTCTAGATTAATCAAAGTCAAAGTTGGAGTCGGGTGGGTGGGTGTAATGGGGTATTGAAGGAAGGTTTCTTTCTGCAAGAAATGAAAGAAATGATATGAGTGTTGGTTCTACACTCACTTACTCGGACTTTTGAAGTTTTGGTGGTTGGGTGGTTGGTAGGTAGGTTGGAACTTGGGATAGGTCGGATGGGTGGAATGGGTGAGGTGGGTGAGTTGGGTTGGGGAGGTAGGTGGGTGAGGTGGGTGATGGGGGTGAGGTGAGTTAAGGAGGTGGGTGGGTGAGGTGGATGACTTAAGTGGTAAGTAGGTAGGTAGGTAGGTAGGTAGATGGTAGGTAAATGGTAGGCAAGTGGGTGGGTAAGTTAGGGAGGTGGGTCATTTAGGGTCTGGTAGGTAGGTGGTAGGTGGCGGTTAAGTGGTAGTGCCACACTAAGGAAGACCAAGGAAGACTATTCATCAAAATACCTATAGTAGTATAGTATAGTATAGTACGCCATACTATCGCTTATACAGAGTAGTCTATGAGTAGTAAGTATATGATGGATTGGGTTTAGTCATTCATTCGTCTAAATCAATCTTTTCCTCAGGCCAGATTTCAGTTTATAGTTTTCTTTACTTTAGTCTAGTCTGTTCTGGTAATGAGAAAAAAGAATCTTCTCGCCAGAAAAAGTTTGTTTGTTGTTGTGGGATACCATTCATATTCTTCTTCATTCTTCTTCGTTCTGGGTTTGGGAATATCGGTATCGGTATTGGTATTGGTACTTACTCACTGCTACTGGTACCTAATTATATATTCTTTGAAGACTGACGGGATATAAATATTCGAATCGAATCTCAACGAAATCGAAGTCGAAGTCGAAAACAAAAGTCAAAAGTCAAAACTCACGAAAAGAGATACAAAATTATAATAACAGCAACAAACCAAAGCGAATATTCGAGAAAAGATTCCTGGAAACATGCGATTCAACTTCACTTCTCTCCGCGCAGGATTCCTTCGTGGAAATGGTTATGCAAATGGAAATCCACATACGAGAATCATCCATCCACGATATCTAAGCACGCCTTCTCCGCCTCTCTCGAAGAAAATACGCAGGTGGTGGGGAGATAGAAAGAAGAGAGAGATGGAGATGAAGATGGAGATGGAGATGAGGGAGG